GGTGGCTACATGAAAATGGAAAAAACGAAGTCCCCTTTGACCCTCAACCAAATTTCCTCTAAAAACCTGAAAAATTCCCCAAAATCCCCAAAAAAACGAAACGTCGACTAAAAAAAGGTCGCCGTCGCCAATTTTCCGTGTCTCTTCGGTCACAAAAACGAAACCCCCTTTGCTTTTCGTCCCAAAAACGATACCCAGCTTGCTTGTAAGCCACCTCGTGCCGAGCCCTGAATGGGACTTCGTTTTGAAATTTCCCTGGTGCCAGCTCGTGCGGGCCCCGCCAAATATATACGTATTGTTTTGAAAGGCCAGCTTAAGTTGATATCCTTTCCTTGTAAGACCGTGGTATTCGTTTTTCACATCCCAGTCATAGTACAGAAGACTTTGTTGTCTTGTGAAGGCCGACAGCACTGTTTTGGACAGGTGCCCTTCAATCGAACTCCACTCGTATACTATTTGGGACATTCATTTTACGTAAGTATCAACCGGAAGTTTACGCCAAGTTCGCGCGTTCATGACGTTAATGGCAATAAATCACAGCATCTATCTGTTGCGTTGTCTTTTAGGAATGTTCTAGAACCCTATCACAGAATAACAGTTATTTATAGTAACTCCTGAGTATAACATTGATATCTGTCAATAGCATGACCTTGTTAATGACAGTAGCGTCAAGGACAGCCTTTCTCACTTCCAAAAATAGTTGCGAACGTTCAACTTCGCCCACGTACCTTCCCCTATAGCTAGAGAAGGCTACATTGTAGCACAGCGGAATTTTTTTGGCCACAATGATCTCTTATCAAATCGGTAGATGAATTACATTCGTAGCAGCGACGCTGGAATTGATGACCAGAAGGGATAGCGCTTTTTCGCTCTTTTTCTGGGCAGACAACGCGTTGCTACAAAATGAGTAGAAGGAAGAATCAGTTTTCTTGATCCAAGAATAGCAAGGATGTGTTTTGCCTAACGAAGTACTGATAGTGATTGCCATTTCGGAGATTCTTGCTGTCAATCAAAACAACGTAAACCCATATTTAGGCTACAAAACTGGTTGAGACGCTCACCTTTCAACTTTGAACCGTGTAATTCCGATCAGTTTAAGATGGAGAAATGGAATGAAAAAAATTGTTAATTAGTGTAAATTCTGAACAAAGCCTTTTTTTGCTACGACTGCGCTCTTAAAATTGTAAAAATCTTGGGACATTAGCCTGAATTTTTCGCATAGGCGTATGAAGGCTTGAACTCAAGAGAGACGGTCAAATCTATTATATTAGCTTGTAACATAAGTTTGAGACACTCTGACTTCTTAGGCGATAAGTCATGCAGTTTTTTTTTTCAGGGATAGGGCATACCGTTCGATAGAGCAAAGCAAGCCCTACAAGATGATCTGCAAAAGTTCGCCTCAATCGACCCACTTCAAGTTCCAAAATGTGAGTCGTACTGAAAGCTCAAAAAATAGCGAAGAATTCATATCTTCGTTCAAAAAATCCTACAAATCTCCGACTTGCTCACAAAAATTGTAAACTACATCAGGTACTCATATGTACCGTTCCTAAATTTCTCCCTCATTTAGAATCCTAGAAAAGGAAAATTTTCAAGCTTTCACAAAAACGAAGCTAAGCTGTTTTCACTTATGTAATCGTATACTACAATCCCCAAGAAGTATAACCGTAGATTTTCGGTTCTTCACAGGCCCTAAATTTCGAGAAATATTACTCTACTACTAGATACTACTCTCCTCACTCGGGTGCTTCATGCTAAAATTAATATTTTTGAAATGTAGGGCTTGTGAAAAGATGAAAATTTACGGTCATACCTCTGAGGGGTTGTAGTATATAACTGCATAAGTGGAAACAGCTTGGCTTAGTTTTTGTGAAACTTGAAAATTTTCGTTTTCTCAATTTCTAAATGAGGAGAAATTCAGGTACATATGAGTGTCTGATGTAGTGTGCAATTTTTGCACACTACATCAGACAAGTTGGAGATTCGTAGGATTTTCTGAACGAAGATATGAATTTTTCCCTAATTTCTAAGCCTTCAGTACGACTCACATTTTGGATGCAAACTCAAAGTGGGTCGAAGTTGAGGCGAACTTTTGCAGATCATCTTGTAGGGCTTACTCTGCTCTATGAATGGTGCGCTGGATCCCTGGAAAAAACGCCTAACTTATCACCTTAAGAAGTCAGAGTGTCTCAAGACTCATGTTACAACCTAATAGTATACAGACTGGAAGCGTTTCATTGCAGCATACTAAGGACAGTTCCAAATTAATCTTGTCCTGAGTGAATACCGACTGTGGAGTCTTAACTTAACCATTGCCTAACCACTAGCTCATCAGCAGAGAAGTTCGACATTATACTTCGTCCTACAGTACTTGGAATACGGTTCGCTAGGAAGAAAACTGTCTGGGCGAGACTGTACACCTGCACCTTGGACGTAACAATCATATGAACTGGAATTTAGGCATGGCTCAGTAAGGAATACAGAATATTCCGCAAGAAGCGCATCTCGAATTTGTCTGGACACCCTATGCATACATGTACGTAAGAATTGAGCACTCCTTCAAATTACTCTAGGAAATGCTTCATCATACAAAGCTACTGAGTTGACAGAAACTTCTCCTTTGTATCGGAATTCAAGCAATTTGCGCTATAGTCGCACTTGATGCAAAAGACAAACGACCATTGTCTGATGTATGGTGGCACCCTCCTCGATTCACGTGAGACTTTATCGCCCAGTCGAAACAACCTACAACTTAAAACTGTCCGACAACAAGGAAGTTTCTATTCATTTGTACCTTCATTTGCGTCAGAGTTGTATATAGAAAAGTACTTTCCATGCTAAAAAATCTTGCGCATTTATTTCTGCGGAAGACAACTGGACGAAGATCTTGTGAGGGACCACTTACATAAATTTTCACGAAAAGGCAATGATTAAAGAAAATAAGAAATTAGATTACTTTTTGTACAAGAAAATTTCTAATGTGGTTATGGTCTTTTACGAAGGATTGCATCAAGCAAGGATTCAGGACTGTGCAAACCTCTCTAGGTCTCAATTAATTTCATGAATCTGCAAAATATGTAAGTCCCAATAAATTTTGAGATTCGCGCAGTTGTTGCCTGTAACTCTTATTACACCTTGACCCAATGACATATGAGTCCATGAGACCAAAAGATTGTGTTATAATGCTCGATGGTGCACAGATCCTCATGCTTTCAAAAATTCAGACGCTTTATTTCATTGAAAATTTTTGCAAAATAGCAGCTCTTCCAACTTCGCGGGTAATTCAAATCTGCACAAATTCTTTTTTTAGAGCTTTCGTTGTGGCTCTTGGCAGACTCCAATGTTTCCTGCCATTGAAAATCTCCTTGTTCTTCCAAAAGCGCGAAAATGTGCTGCTAATTACTACAAGACTAAAGCCACAAACTTACAATGCAATCCGTTGTAGGCTCACACCATAGCTTACTGCTTCAAACGAGCTGTACAAATTCATTCGTAGATGTCAAAAGCCAGTTTGCTATTCATCATTTGTTTCCAGCTAAACTATTATCCAGAAATCGAGCTGCCCATGCATTTGCCCCACAAATGGGTATAACTTTATAATCTCGGTATAAGCAAGGCTTTGCTTGGAAAATCCATCCAGGAAACTGCATAGTAGCTCTTAGAAGACCATAAAGGTATGTGTCTACTAATCAGCTAAACATTATATGATCTCCTCTTTTAGAACGGCAACATGCTTCCACAAAAAATTGAAAAATCGCCATCCGAATAAGTCAAAAAGAGCGTTCAGCTATTCTAACACATACATCATGACAGCATGCTCAATGTATCCGTCGAAGCTACTCAATCACTATGTTTTTCTCAACTATTTTTTTCAAAACAATGTTGCTTCAAGACATGGCAACAAGCGAGCACTGCTGTGCGACTATATATTAGAAACTGTTAAAAATTACAAACTATCTCAAAAAAGCGAGCAACATTCTCAGCACCTAGGATGCATGAAAACATTATGATGATGCCGTAACGTTAGGGTAAGAAATTATCGTAACTTATTTAGCTTGCAAAATTTTATTTCGAGAAGAAAATGCTGTGCTCGGCTCCTTAAAGTAATTTATGGGTCATGTCATGATAATCAGAGGTAATTTACTCAGATGATATTAAACTTGGTTCTCCTCACTTCTTGCTCAAGCCTTGGGATTTTGAGGTGGCCTAAATTCTGTTTTGTTATCCCTCTTTTCAACTTTTTCTTCCTTCTTCTTTTTTTTTCTTTCACATTATTCACATCAGTACTGGCATTCCTATGAGTCAAACAACATCTGTGACGTTAAGACTCGTCTCGAGTGCTTTTTTCTTTGTCAACTATTATGAGAATATGAAATGTATGGGAGAAAGCAGTCCATATATGGTGTGAATGTTTTGGATATCACTACTACTATCACTTGAAAAGAAAATTCTTGCATAGATTTTTTTACCAAATAAACGTTTGAAGGTACTTCAGTCAGAAGCACGGCGCATATATAGTCGTTATATTGTACAGAAAGAAAAATTCATGACTTTCCAAAACTTCGCCGAACGATGACACATCAGAAGAAATTGTAATGGTAAAACTCTGACTGACTATCGTATTTTGAGGCAAACTTATGAGTTTTTCCCACTTCAGTTTACTGGGGTAATTTTTTTCACTTATGGTATTATCAACGATGGTTTTCGCCTGCGTTCATTTGCTAGATTTTTACCGTAAGATGAGTATGAGGCCCTTTACAAGTCATTCTTTTTGAAGGACCTGCATAGGTAAGCCATTTGGCCGCATTTTATTAGATGCTACCAACGACTGAAGCCTTCTCTTTTAAACTTCTTAAACCTTCAAAAATTCTTTGCTTGCTTTATATCTCGTTTGATAGCTAAGGTATAGACAGCCATTTTTGTAAGTCTCCCTAATGCCTTTGCAGACGGAATATCAGAAATAAAAAGACAATTCTTTATTGGATTCAGTGTAATTCGGCTTAAGCGACGACACGCTTTCTCTTCTTTGCAACAACCTTGGCAGCAGCCTTGGCAGCAGTCTTGGCACGAGCAACACGAGCCCCACCACGACGTGGGCAAGGACAGTAGTTGGCGTCTCTTCCAAGACCACCACGGTTTCCAGCACCACCGGGTGGACCGGGCATTCCGGGCAATCCGGGAGGTCCTTCTGGACCAGGTGGACCAGGCATAGAACCACGAGCCTCGCCGCCAGGTGGTCCTGGCATACCGGGAGGTCCGGGCTCTCCAGCAGCTCCGGGTTGTCCTGGCGCGCCGGGTGCACCTTTGGTGCCTTGCGATCCGTTTTCTCCTCTGTCACCGGGTGGTCCTGGCGCACCATTGCGACCGGCTTCTCCGGGTGAACCAGCTTGTCCTGAAAGGAAGATTTATAGAAATAGTCAAAGTCTAGTGGTTCTTAGCTCACCTGGCAAGCCTGGAGGTCCAGGGGCACCAGCACTGACGACACTGCCGCTTGGTCCAGGAGCGCCTGCCATTCCAGGAGGTCCAGGAGGTCCGGGCACTCCAGGTGGACCATGGGGACACACTCTACAACGTCCTGGAGCATCCATCACTACCGGTGGGAAGTTACCAGGCAGCCCTGCGGCACCACGTGTTCCCGGTTGCCCAGGTGTACCATCGTCACCATGCATGCCCGGCGGTCCGGGAGGTCCCGCTGGGCAGTTTGCATCGACGTTACATTGACAATCTCCACCAGCCTGACGATAACGTCTTTGAGTCCAGTATGATGCTTCTCTTCTTATCATTGGTGCATTCTCAGCTTGACGTTGTTTCTTCGCTGCACGACCAACACGAACATGAACTCTAAAGAAGAAAGAATTAAATGAGTGACCTTGCATCATTAAAACCTAGCATGATGGAAAGCTAACAGTTTTCTAAGCCAGTTCTAGAACTTTCATGTGAGAATGAACATTAAAGGAATTGCAGAACCAGACCTAGGGGGCTGGTTACGGTTTGTTGACCACAAAAGTCAATGAAACGCTGATCGAAAGAAAACTTACGTTGCCTGCTGTTCCATCAGCTTAAACTCGTTCATGTCGCTCTCAATTTCTTTTGAGATTTCTCCAAGTACGGCTGATAGACGCGTCGCAAACATGGCGATCAGCACCGTCGCTCCGATGGAGAGCCCTATCGAAGTGTAGGCGACAGTCTTTGCGTTCATGGTCCTGTGGAGAAAGCTTTGAGAATGGAGAAGAGCAGAGAAAAGGGAATGAAATGAAAGAGGAAAAGCCTAACCTGCAGTGGAGGGAACGCTGCCTAATTGAAAAAGTTTGCATTGCCATTTATACTCAAGAAGTAGTGCACATTTCGGCGGAACAAACAATTTGTGTAACTTCATTGTTATTGATAAACACAATAGAAAACTTTATGTCGCACCCTGACATTCCTAAAATCCAAGGAATGTAAATGAAAACGTTGGGTTGGGCTATTGAGAACTATTGTTCCAATTTTTTGTGGAAGAAGTTGAAAAAGAAAGACAAGTTCAAGAACAAGGGTATGACGCAATCATGCCTATTCCTCCTTGTATTTTCCCCTAATCCAGAAGGAAAAATTAATGTTTTTCTCCGGGGATAGCTTGGTTTCTACAACTTGGTAGCTTGTTGACTGTGCTATACTACCTAAAATAGGCTAATGGTAAAACTGTAAGATGTATTCATTTGCTATTGGGGAATTTTCCGAAAAGGTGGGGAATTTTCGAAAAGTGAAGGCAATGATCTTTCTTTCCACAAAGAACATATCTTCTGTTCAAATCCTGTTCTAAAGTGGAGAAACAATCGTGGTCTCAATTTGATTGTCGAATAATGCGTTTAAGTGAACCATTTCCGATCCATATAAAAGCTGTCATGTAGAAGTGAATAAAACAATGCACTAATATCTTCCATTTCTTCCCCTCTCCCCTTCCCCATTTCCGCTCTCAACAATGAGTTTGAAGCAGATCAAATTTTTTGTTCATGAGAACTCGAATACTCTTTTTCAAAAATATCCACAAACTCAAAAATTCTAAACAAAAACAGTTAACTACCGCATAGCAGACATTTGAGAGAACATTATCATTCTCCTTGAATGACTTGAAATCGTTCAGGAGTTCATGTTTCTGGCGGAAATGAGAGTTATTCAAAAACAGTCTCAATCTTATATTACTTCAATTTGCATTCCTTTGACGAACTGCTTATGTTTCTGCCACATACATTAGAAAGAGGCGTTTAGCATGCGCTCTCCTTATTCAGTAATACATAGCTGGAATGTTCAAATGTTAAAATATACGAGATCTGAAACAACATTTCTCAAGCTTTTTCTGAGCAAGTCTGCAAGTGGCGATATCAATTCTGGTACCGATCTTCATTCTCATCAACTAAGCTTTTCAAACACCCTTGCTTTCTATTTCCTATTCAATCAACTATTTCTTTCAACTGCTGTGAAGATAGTTAGCTTTGCAACTATAATATCGTCCCAGCGTCATTCTCTGGAGAATTTCAAACATCTCTAGGGTACCGAAAAGCAATGCTATTCGTGCTCTCGCAAATTCGGAATCCGTGTAATGAATGTTTTTGTTGTTTTGCGGTACATAACAAACACAAACCTCAATTTCATCCTTACCTTCCTTGACAAGAACATGTGTAGTACACCCTATGCATTGCTCTATACATCTCAACAGACAGGCGTTCGTAAAGCATTTATGCTCGAATCTCGCTCTTGATCACCCAATAGTGGATGTTTGTACAGTGGGAGGTTTTCAATGAGCATCGATCGTGTCCACATTCTCAGTGTTCACGAGACTGTTTGCCTCGATTTCATAGACATAATCTTTGTGTGATTTTTCTCGTTTCATTGCATGTCACACCTATCGTTACGTTCTAGCTATATATTCTTGAAGCACATATGTTAGCATTATGTTGCAAGTGGCCCTGGGATTACCTTGCTACGGTAACTACAGTAATCCCTCACTTTAAACTGTTGCAAGCAACCATAAACTATGCTTGCATGTAGCACCACTTCTGCAGCAATAGCAAGTAGGCGGAGCTTTTCGCATTACTGTCTGTTGCTGCAACATTCGCATTGCAACAACAGTGAGGATGCAACAACAGATTTGTAGTGTAACCACATTGTTGTTTTTGGTAAATTCGCAACAACGTCGAGATTGCAATAGCAGACAATTTTCTTGCTGAGCAACTATATTGTTGCAACCTCGTCATAGCTCCGCAACAACACTGAGGTTGCACGACAACAAAACTGTCGTTGTGCCACTTCATGACTGCCGCGCAAAGTTGTGTGTCGTGACGCTTCTCGAATAATCAGCCTTAAACAAACACAAACGGAGTATAATCCATCATTATGTTTACAAAAATAGGTCTAGCTCCCTCACCGCTCAGTCACTCAGCTAGTTTTCCACCTTTGCGCAACTTGAGTCTTTGCTATGATTGCGGGGACCACTTGAGTTTCAAGGTCATCTCCTTGTTAGCCTCGGCTCCAGAGCTCTTCAAATCTTGGTTGTGATTTTTTGCTGTCCTTAGTCGTCTCTAAATACATCCACTCTATGCGAATTAACCTGCTATTTGTGGGTATGAGTCGTTTCGATAGCAATACAGGTCTAGTGCATGTTCTAAAGGCACGCATGTCACTATTTTTAGCGACGAGACGCTCTACTTACAGTAATGCACTTATCTGTAATCTCGTCTGAGACGACGAATTAGCATTTGATCTTACCAGAGTCACTATTTGACGATCGGCTTTGCCTCAGATTTTTTGCCGAATCCTCTTTATGCACGATTCTGCAAAGAATGCATGCAAATTTTCAAAAGGATCTTTCTTCTTATGCGCATGTTCCATTTAGGTACTGCTTTTTCGCATAATGCTTCTAAAAACCCGGAGTTTCCGTTCCAACGCTATATATGCTGTAATTTGTTTTGCACTCCATCGGCCCCGCAGGAACGCGTCGTGATGCTATTAGGAGCAGTACCAGTTTCGTGAATGCAAAACGTAGCAGCGGAAAATACGAACGAGCGCGCTTCCCTGATGAGAATGCGCTTACCGTAATGAAATAGACCGCCCTATTTGGGTAGAATGTTTTCGTAGTTTGTTGAAGCGCAGCCAAGTCCAATAAAGATGATGTTGAAAGATTATCGAACTTTTTTGATTTTGGCCAGCTATCAAGGTTATATAATAGCTCAAAAAGTTTCCATTGCTGCTTTTTCCTTGTTTTTTTTTTCAAATGTTGTAATCGGTCGCCTCATTTCTTTCGTTCAGGTCAAGGCATATGCATGCGAACATTTTTAGACATCCGGTGAATAGCTAACGAGCGCTAAACCACCAACTCTATACATCCGGTCACTAATGTAGCTGCTTTACTTTTGACATTTGATTTTTGAGTTGACACCTCCAGTCTGCATCTGCATATTTGGACCATTAAAGCTTTTTCCAATTGACATTCAAAGATTGGAAGTTCAGTTTTCGCAAATCTTCGTCTCCTGGGACTATTGGCTAGTTGTCATCCGAGAGCTATTTTAGTTTCACTTTTAACTTCCCCATTAGTTCTGCACGGCGCTCGACTTGATGAGTCATCTGTTGCACATTAAGCACTGTCACCATACTGCACGTTACGCTCTGTTGCTCTATTTCTTTCGTGATTTATGGATCTGTTTAGAGGGAAGTTGCAATGTATATTACTCTTTAACCTGTAAGAAATTACAATGACATTAGATAATTAGTCGACTTATCTTTAGTATAAAGGAAGATTTTTGGCGTTCTTTGACTACTGGGGTTGAACTTCTTTTTCTTATGATTAACAAAATCAGGATTTTCCAGTTTCCGTTTTTTGTTCGTTTTTGAGCACCAGTTTCACTGTCAGATAATGTTAGTACGTTTCAAGGTTATGTTATGTTGATGCCAAAGTTCGTCACATCTTGTGCAATTACGTACTTTGTAGTCGTCTTAGTCCCAACGCATTCTTTAGTTGCACCACAGTGCAGTTGCAGCAATTGTGTAGTTGCATCTTGTTGTTGCTGCATCTTGCGTATTGTTGCACACCACATTATTACTCGTGCTGTTGCACAATACACTGTTGTTGCATACTACAACGAGCTATAACTGAAATGGCCTAAACAAGCCCTAAATCTTGACCATGAAAAACATATCAGCTTTCAGTTTTATTTTATCTCCCATAAATGTCGAAAACGTGATGACATCACTGAGTCAACGCTTGCGTACTGTTTTCCGATCCGCATTTGTCTTTGTCGAAAACCACCACGCAAATTTTCTCAAAGTCACACGTTTCGCGTTTCGCATCGCTACGTTCTGCACCTCCAACTTCTCTGCACACTCTACCATACTCATACTATCGCACCGTATTTTCCACCTATATTGGGAAACAGATCGTGATTCGAGCGTTATTTACCGTCGATTCGTCGTGTACACATACGCCAACACCGACGTCCACTTCTTCGTACACCACCCGCTCGCGCGCACACACGCCACACTCATACATTCGCTCGCATTGCTGACCGTACACGCAGCGACGCATCGCGGCTGCGTGCGATACGCCAAGCGACGTCGCGTTGCGCGATGTTCAATATTTGAACATCGGTCGTGGAGTGAGTAAGTGCTATTCTTGTAAAATTTTGTTCAAGTCTGCGAGGCACTTGGGATGCTAGTTTTCATTGCAAATTCGATTTGACCTTCATTTCTCATGACAATCTGAATTTAAAAAGAAAGGTCATCTTCGTTTTTCATTCATTAAGAAGAACCTTTCCTTAAACTATATGATCAGATTTTGCTTTTGTATCTCGCTCACCAGGCATGCAGGCTTGAGAGGGAGAAGGGAACTTTCGAAAAAACACTCTTCTACTGCATAGCCGGTAATGCAAAGTGCTTATGACAGGCTTGAAGTACATACAAACTTTGGGAAAAGTAAAAGTTTGTGTGCGTCCAGTTTCCCTTTCAGCTATGATCGAATCCTGTCTACGCAATGATGGTTTAACGCACTGCATCTTTCAAGGTTCTTGTCACCAGTGACTTGTTATTTCATTTCGTTTCACTTTAGAATCTCTCAGATGAACGACTTGCTTTTGAGGCATATTCTATACATTCTCGTTTGCGTCATGACCCTCTTATGGCAGTTACCCATTCATTCTTACCTATGATACATACAGTTCAGTCATTTCCATCTTAGAATTCAATGTTGAGTCGTTTCTGTTTCGAAATCTAAATAAATAGAAAGTCAGAAGCATCAGCATGAACATTTTCCCAAAAATAATCCTTTCTAAAACTGCTAATTTTTCAAAGCTATTAAGCTTTGCCTTTGTTTGCAAACATCATTTATTCTGCTTATACAACTTTCATATGCTAAACTCTGTTCAGTCACGTTTTTGATGAGCCATCGTTATTTTTCTAATTGTTCGCTTGCAACTATTCATAACAAAAGCTATTCTTATCCCAGGCACCATCGAACATTCAAATTTTCTATTGCAAAAGCGTGCAGACATTTTTTGCTGCTAACATATCCATATGGGGCAACACCGCTTCCCGTTCCCCTCCAATACAGCGCAATGTTTCAGGCAATCTGAAAAGTCACAAAAACAACTAGCCAATGGTGCTCTCATTGATTTTATTGGTGATATTATATCGCGACCCATTTTCCGCGCATTTCTGAGCTAAAAATAGCTCAATGTTGCCTCTGTGGTGGATCGCATTTCTCATCGCAGCCCACAGTCATCGTCAATTGAGCGCATCACGACGATGTCGTTCGACCGGTTTAAGGCTATGGGAACGATGCCATTCTTGATGGCTAACGTTGAACGCCCACTTTTATGCCTATCACCTTGATCGTGGTTCATTGCTTATTATAGCCATAGCGACCAGGAAATTCTTCATCAACGCTTGAATGGGTGTAGTGAACAACAAAGAGCTGTATGAAGTGTCAGGGTCTTTGTACAACCTTTCTCTGCAGCAAAAATTACAATGCAGTTGTTGAATATAAAGGTTCTTATCGCATATTTATCGTACTACTACAGTATGAACACTAGACCGTGATGTTGTCAGTTCAGCAGCAAATTGCAATTTTGGTGTTGCAATGCAGTTGCAGCTAATCCTAGTTGCATTTTACAGTTGCTGCAATTTTGATTATAGTTCGTTAATCACAACTGTAGTTGGCTGCCACCGCAGTGTTGTTATCACAAAGTTGCCTGCAACCGCAGTGCTGTTGCATTAAATGTAGTTGCGTTTTGTAGTTGTTCCTCAAGTTTTTGTTGCAGCATACTATTATACAGTAATACTACGTATCACGGTATTATCACTATCCCATATTATGGCTGGAACAACCTTCAAGTGTGGATAACTAAAGTAGAGTAACACTGAGTTTTCATTTCTGTTTATTTTGAGAATCCCTTTAACCCTTTCTCATGACTTTGAATCCAATAATAATCACTCCTCAATACGTTCTTTTTTGTTTAAGAGCTTAGAATAGATTCAATTCAATTCAAAATCTGAAGAGGCACAATCAGACTCAAAAAAGCTCAACTCTAATTGTTCTAGCACTTCGGGGTGTGAAGTGCAAATCTTCATATGACCTAATTCGATTGTGCAATTGCAGACAACTCGTTATCTTTCTTCCTGCACTCTTCTGACATTCACACTTTCCTTACACTATTCTGTACCGAGTCGGTTACCATGGGAAAGTTTTATTGTTGACAGAGATGGCTAATTTCGAGTCGAAGTAACTGGGAGAAGTGAAACCTTCTTTTGTAAGGAAATCCCAACTTTTTATATCGTAACATTCCATTAGCTGGGGAGAAGACATATCGCCTTTCTATTTCGTCACTCCTCTAAAATAGAATACATAGCTTAGAAATACATGATTACAAAGAAATGTTATTCGCTGCCGTACATCTTCGCACCACCCACCAATACCCCGTTTTTCCCAACATTTCATTGATTTATCTCTTCGCATTTACGTTTTTCAAATGCATATATAGAAGGTAGCTACATACATATCGGACATGCAAGAAATCTATGTCTTCGCACAGCTGTTTCCAGTATTGGCATCTTTTTTATGCTGTTTCAATACTCTTTTGATGATGAGTTCTATAGCTCAATAAATATCTTTCCTCAAAAGATAAGAGCCCATAAGATGCTCTATCCATATAAAAGCTTAACTTCAAAGTGCTATGACTTGGAACCTTTCTACAAGTCATTTTTCTTACTTGCTCGGTTGCATCCTTCATATATGTAAGCTCTTGCTCAAAGCTCTAGCTCATCTACCTACCTAAAATGTGGTTTAAACTTTGTACTCTGGGAACATTCTTTGCTACGGGAAACCTTTTCTTTGCTAGTAAGGGTTTCTTGAATTCTGTTGAGTCATTGTTGGAAGCTTTTTGTGAACAAGCAATTACTGCGATAAAAATAACTTTGTTGCAAAATCAGTCTTGAAAATGGGGCGATTACTTTTTATGGAATGTTTGATTGTTGAAGCCACCAGATGTTCAAACAGAATGTTTAATCTTGAAAAATTGAATGTTTGATTTTATAAAATTTTGTACTTCCTCTTCCACCCATATTTTCAGTTTGGTGTACATTTCTCAGTGATCATGGTTGCATTATACCCGGAAAAGCACTCATGGATTTTAACTCTACTGCAGCTATAAAAAACCAAATCTTCGCGCAGTCCTCAAACTCATTATGCAGTCAAGCACGAAAATCAACAATTTTTTCTTTTCATATCCAAATTTGGACATCACGACATCGCCAACAAAACGAGAGCAAGCACACTATTTTTCACCACACACACAGGTCTCAATGCGTGCAGAATGTCTGCACGTTTTTTTTCTTTCTCGTTTTTCGTGAAATTCAGTTCTCTCGACGCCCTTTTGTCGACTGGATGTCCAGAAAAGTCATCACGCATTGTAAACATAAAGTTTTTTCTACACTCGAATCTCTTTGTGGCTCGACATCAGGTCTTGCTCTCGAGTGGTTCCATTTGCAGTCAGTGCAAATTTAGAAGTCGGCATGACTTGGAAAATTTTAGGCTGGTAAACGAAAATGGTGACAGCAGAAATCTCAAGAATTTAAATTCATTTGGGTAGTGTAATATGATTCGCAATTACGTGAGTCAATCATATGCCTTATAAATGAGTCATGAGTCATTTTTGTTGCCAAGTATGTGAATTTGGCCATAGAATCCAAATAATCAAAAATCAAAAGCTCAGAAAAGCTTGTAATAAGGTCAGCTCACAATAAGTGCTCAAACATGACTAAAGCAATAAGAAAACTTTCTTTTTCGATTATGTAAAGAAAACATTGAGAGCTGACTAGACCTTGTTTAGGTCGCAAAAAAGTCGGCACATGTTTGTATGGTAAAATTGATATTTCTTGAGAACATGTGAAAATAACATTGGATGGCCTATTGTATTTATACATTGCTTATCTATGTGGGGGGCGGAGCCTGTCGCAGGGGCGGAGTTAGCCATACAGCACAGGGGAACTTGTTGTACGAGGACCGCATGTGTCACAGTTTCAAAGACTAATTGCTAACACATTCCTTCAACTGCTGCTGCACAATCGCATGCATCTCTGAAATAACCCTTCATTATAAATATAGAAAATGATAGATTACATTGCGATGTAATATCACCTGCACCAGGGACATATAGCACCGATAAAAAGCATGATAAATCCGTTGGAAACGATATATCACGACGCCTTTCAAATGTCAGGTGATGTGTGCAAGATTGAAATGAAATCGCGTGTATCGCTTGTGTCAACTTTTGCAAAAAAAATTCAAAGCGGAAACAGATTTTCAGAAGTTTAAATGGACTTTCATTGACATTGTGTAGCTTTGCTAAATTGGTTAGCAGATTGATCTTTCGCTCAAATTCGTCCAGGCTTTTTTTTTTGAAGTTCTAATTCGCACAGGATTTCAAAGTTCCAAGATTTACAAAAAGAATTTTGGAGCATAGGCAAAATACAGGCCATCATATAAGCATTTGCTTTACGTGATTGAGCCCGCAAAACTTTTGGGGTGGGATAGAATTAAAGAAGACCTTTGATCCAAATTCTACCCCCCCCCCCCCTCCCCCGCCACCCTTCTCCTTTCCTTTGGTCAGACCAGACGCATAAAGAAACTATCTAAATGCATTTCCTTCTCTGAACTCTCATATTACCTTCTCAAATGTTGCGCTAAAGCTCATTTATGAAAAAGCAGTAAATTTTCTGTTTGTTTTTCACGTCAAGGGCATAAATTTCCACTTTTTCTAGCAAAATCGATAAATTTAAAGAGGTGTAATTCAATGCTGTCCCAGAAATAGAACTGAGGAGCGAGAATTCAAAAAGCAATTTCTGGATATTACGCAGTTTTTTTGGATTTTGTGGTTTGATGTTTGGTGTGCTGGCGAATTCAAGTTGAACAGTTAACTTAAGAACAAGTTTCAAAAAAAAAGCTTGGAAAGTTAATTGTGGACCAGAAAATATATTTTCTTAAGAGTATGAGCATTATGTACTAAATTGAGAGAACTTTCGAAATTTTGAAAATAATGTTTACATATACTTCCTAGCGGGACTATCTATGCTTTACCAAGCACTCTTTACTATTTTTAGAATATTCTTCTCATTTCCAAACCAGGAAATTTCCTAAACCATCACGTGACATCTCATAAACGTCCGGCACATCCATTTTTTCTGCATTCGATCGTAAAATCCGAACATTTTCCCTTCAAATATTTCGCAAATGTATGGCATTTTCCATCAATCCACATCGCACAGAGACCATGTTTTGCCACGCCCCTTCGCTTTTCTCTCCATCAAGGCTCCGCCCACTTTTGTTATGTCTTTGAAACGATCGGCGAAAACGAGACCAGCGAGACTTCTCGTCGTTATTTTTTCCTCCTACACGAGTCAGTGATCGATGTTTTCTTCTAGAAATTGCTATGGAATGTTATTATCATGATGCAAAATCTATCTTTTTTAGAACATGGAGGAATACTCCTCGATTGAAGGCGCATCACAAGGCGAAGAGTATATCCTGGCCAATTTCTGCAATATTTCGTTTAACACCCAACAACCCCATGATCAGGTAATGCTGCACATCTGTTTATCTATTTTCACTCGGACTTAATTTTTTTCATCAAGTAAAGCTGCACAAAAACGCCTTTGCTTGCGTGAACAAGTTCTTAGCAGGGGATAAGCGTACCAAAGAATTTTTTAGTCTTCTGACTTGTTCCAAACCCTTTCTGTTTTTATGTTTTTGTTGTCCAAGTAAACACAACAAAAGAGTATAGCAGCACAAGAAAAGCCTACTGATGAAAGATGCAAACAAACAGGAAAACGTTCAGCAATACGCTTTGTTGAGAAGCGGCGCGAACTAGTATTACTCAGCCAAGATTTAGGCGAGAAGGGGGGGGGGGAGGGCTAATATATATTTTGCAAATTTATTTTGAAGTGGGCGCATAAAAGGGTGATTTTCTTATGTGATACGCGAATATTCTGCCCTTTTCCGCTGAATGTTTGATTGCTTTGCTTTTGTTTGCTTTATTTTGCTTCATCGAACTTATTGTGTTACTCTGCCAGCAACTCTAAAAATGTAAGGCTTTGTTTTATTTTTGTACTTTAGTTCTAGAATGTCACGTACATCATTCTATAGAGGTAATAGCTATTGATGAAAAAGCGAAAATTGAGTAGTTTTAGTGCAAAAAAAAACAAATAAATGACGAGGAATTCCAAGTTGAAAGAAAGAGATGCGTGTCTGCAGATTCTAAGAAAGATAGAAATAATGGGAGAAAAATGGTACTTTTAAACGGTACTTTTTTGAAAATTTCGGCTTCAGTGATGAAATCTGCACGCGTTTGACATTGTGTGTACGCAAATACACACTTTGATGCAGTTTATCAAGCCTGCTTTTCTCGATTATTTATACTTCTAACATAGTATTCTAGAAAATCATGGAAGTTTAGAAAACAACTTTATTTTGTTTATGACAGAATAAATTCGCGTACAAAACTGGATAAAATTATAATTTAGAAAAAAAAATTTTATAGTTACGTCTATGTTAGACAGGTAATTTTGGATATGTATAGATTTACAAAATATGAAAAATATTCCAAAACTGCCCTCCATTTTTTCCCAACCATCCATAATCGCAATATAAGCGCGACTGATATGAAACATAGATATGAAAAGCTAAAATTAGATGGCATATCTCTTCTCCAAATTGATATTGATCCAGAAATCGATCGATATTGTATGGTGGTCCAATGTCGTTTGTCTTCCGCTGATCACTATGGTTGGACTCACTTGCAATCTGCTTAATATCGCTATTCTAACCAGTAATAAAGGAGCGAAACGAATACCAAGCTGGTAAGATCCATAAACCACTACAGAATTTGCTAGATACCGTAATCGCGTTCGTTGCAGGACGCTACTGCTAGCACTTGCCATATGCGACTGTTTATTTCTGGTTTTTGCTATGCTAGAAGTGACACCCTCGTCGATTCCTGCTATAGTTTTTTCACCTTATTTGAATTTTATCTACTATCATACTTGTCTATACATCCGTGTTCTGGCATCAACTTTCTACAAGAGCAGTGTGCTGTGAGTGATTTATTTTTTGTGCTTGTACGGAAGAGGGGGGGGGGAGAGAAGAAATTTTATAATTTTGTGAATTTCAGAATCGTTGTCGCCTTCAATGTCGAACGATATATTTGCGTCGTTCATCCATTTAGCTGTCATCGAATTTGTACAGGACGAACATCGCGATTCGCAATCAGCGCATGGTAGGCTGGTTTTTTTTGGGGGGGGGGACTGTGAGAGATTTTGCTCTAACATGCCCTCTTGTAGTCAAAAACTCTGGTAATAAAGTTCTCAAAAATTTGACGTGTTTGCGCTTTTAAGCAACACGATACAGTATCCCACCAATCAATCAATAATTGATTTTTCAGCCTTGTCATCTCATTTCTTTGTTCTGTTCAATGGCCAATTTGTTATGAAGTCCGTTATTGCTATGATCATATCGCACAAGAATATCTCTACTTCATTCGGATGTCAAGCAATGATACTCTTGAGGTGAATCTTTTCTTTTGTTCCTTCTCTTTCCCCCAAATAATTTATTTTTGGTCTCCTCATTTTCCTGCAGACTTTAATTTTTGTCGGTAAGCGGAGGGTAATGTGATCTGAGCAAACTTGGGGTTTTTGTTTCACATGCGCATGTACAGAAGTCTGGTCTGCAAATAGGATAGAGTTACAGAAGTCGGCTGAACCTTTAGAAAATAGATGAGGAACTAACGGTAAAAGATGTAGCTTGTAAAGTAAGAGACCTCCTTTCTACTATACAGTAGCCTCGTGATTTTGTTAATGGAAGAACTTTCAAAAAACCTGTTTTCTCTTCACATCGCTCTTTCTTGGAAGTAATTCTTATCATAGACAGTAGTATTCCATCCAGTGAACCTCTACATTCGCTCAGAAATTCTCTTTGGGAAGGGGGGAGGGAGAGGGGGGGGGGGGCGGGGTGGAAACGCAAATTTTATGGAAGGCACCTGTTTCAAAATAAACGAATCAAGCTAGTTTGGGAGTTGCAAGATTTTATCAAAAGATAAAAACAGGTCCTCCGTGCCCTTAGGCATTATTATAACATTTAGGTCGCTCTCTTTTGCCCTCACACTTCCCCCTCCCCCTCTTACACTTTCTTGAGAACGTACTGTCACTATAGTATCGGGAAATTGTATTCAACGGTTTATTTCAGTTTGCTAATTTATCCTAATTCAGTATTATGCGATACAAGCGTAAAATGAAGATTCATGCGCACATTGATTTCTTACCGTATACCTATCGTATTCCTTACTGAGTGCAATATAGACACAAAAGCCAACAAAACTTCTTTCCGGTTGAGACTGTTTGAATTTTGGGATGTTACATGCTCAAAATCTATTTATTCCTTATTTCACTCCTATGAATAGGCATGAAAATTTCTACTTCAGTTTTACTACCAACTGATGGACTACGTAGCCCTGATCGCCTTCAATATTTTACCTATCATCTCATTGCTGGTAATGAATTGTATGATTATCGCCACGTTACGACGTGTTGTTGCTGAAGACGCTAAAAAAGAAGAATCAACGCGATTAGCTGATGGAACACTGATTCCGGTAAGCAAATCAATCGATATATTGATTTTCTTGTGCCTGATCTATGACAATTTGAAGGAATCATCATCGCATCGTTTAAATCCGAACGCTTTGCTATTTGCTGTAGTGTTGATGTTACTTATCTGTGTGGGACCTCAGGTACTTAGTCAGAGTGCCGTAGAACCAATCAATATATTGATTGATCCATTGTTTCAGGCCCCAGCAAGGTTGCTTTTTGGAATATATGGGCAATATCATCCAAAAGCTATAGTTTATACTTGTGTTTCACAGCAGGTATGTTTGAAGTGTAGATGATTTATTGCATGTGTAGATCATTTGAAATTTTGCATTTTTCAGCTCGTCATCCTAAATGCAGCTTTGAATTTCGCGCTCTACTGTGTGGTCTCGAAGCGCTACCGTATGCTAATGCGACAAACAATCAAACGACTTCTGCGATCGTTCAAAGCTGTCGATCGTCCTCTGAAAATGAGCGCTCGTCAGAGTAAAAGTTCGACAGCTCCTGCTACTTCGATGGAAGAGAACCACAGCCGAAATTTAATGCTTGTACATGCTGTTTAGCTTCGAGATTACTGTATATAGACAATTTAATTTTGATTTAAGCATTTCTGAACCAGTTTCGTCTTCTTCTTTCTAGTCCAGTTCTTCGTTCTGCGTCGCATCGTACGCTTTATCCAGAACACGGGTTTTTTCTGAATATTGAGCTAAATCTGCATTTTATCCATGTTTTTCTTTCGCAATATTCTTTATCACACACATTCCCCAACTTTGCTTGGATTCTTTGTATATAAGTCCTGGTATGGATTTATCTAGCAAAATTATTGAAATTATTTGATCTGTGATCAGACCGCCTACACAGAATGAGCTAGATGTTGCATAATAATGTACAGCTAGCGTTAATAAAGATTGCATCTTCCGCTTGTTGAAAAATTCTGATTCACTATTTGACTAAGTTTTTTGTAAGCGAACAATATATTATGAGAAGAAGTTCAATGAGAACGCATATTTTTTATGTGAAACAATGGTTATTGTAACATTTAAAGGGTTTTTTCGTCTTTTTTTCTAATTAACAAATTTTAATCGAGATAACCCAAACATCCTTGGCGACATATTGAAATAAAGTATAATGTTGCTTTGAAAATATTTTACAAAAATCTTTTACAAAAATATAAGGCCAATTTAGAATTCCAGAAATCACCTTGTTCGCAGATATTTCCAAGAAAAAAAAGGTGAATTATGCAAATTCCTATTTGATTGGAAGCTGGAAAGGTAAAGTCGCTCAGATCTCGAAAACCGAATTTTTGGGGGAAAATCATCCATATTCTGCATATTAATTTGCACTTATGCTTCAAATGTTGAAATCATCACTGCGCTAATCTCAGTATGAATGAAAACTTCTTATTCCGTTTAAGAATTCCAGAAAAAAATTTTTTTCTCAGAATCTCATACACGCTCCTATGTTCATTCTGACGATTTAAATGGACTTGGCATTCTCCTCCCAGATGAGGCTTGGCATTTGGAATGGTTGTTAACTCATTTACTATTGTTACAAAGATTTTTGTTGGATTGAGCAATATGAGAAGACAGAAAGTCCATTACTTATGCTGCTCAAAACATTTGCGAAAACTTACAAGTGCAAGTGAGAAGCATTAAGGAATTTTTACAGATCAAAAACATATTGTGTTGAATTCACAAGATTTTAGTACAAAGCAACTAAGGTTTCATTTCATGCCATTGATAAATCATGCTTTGTGAAGGAATTTTAATGAAAGTCGTAGTCCAGGCATTTTTCTCTATAAAATTTTCTCGGATTTCAGCAACGAAACCAATATCAGCACATTGTTTTTGAGAAGCTTCACCCTCAAAAATATTTTTTTTGCTTCGCCTCTTTAAAACATGTCACTGCCAGACTTACAAAGGAAAAGAAAAATGTGGAAGAAGAAAATAGGAGGTGTTTGAAAAGCATAGCTATTGCCCTCGACGGCCCTTAGTTTCAATTTTTTAGCCTTCCGATAAAGTTTGAATTTGAACTATCGACAAGTTTCGATTTGAGCTGTGGGCTCGAAATACTTCAGCTTTTCCAAAAATTCGAGGTGTATCCGTTTTGAAGAATCCTTGATCTGAACAGCTTTGCTTTTTCAAAAAATTTCAGATTTTCTCAATAGTATTGTATAGCAGAAACGATAATGTTGTGGTGTAAGCAACTTCAAATTGGTATCTTTTAGATTCTTGCGCTGCAACGGGATTTCTAAACCAGTTCTGCATAAGTCCCGCCCATGCCACGCCCAATTTTGTGCATCCCTTCACGGCTGGGTTACTGCATCACATGCTAAAATCTGGTCCCTCTCTCACCATCGCTTTGAAGAGCTGACAGGAAGGTTTGACATTCCCATAAACAAGCAGTGATGTGAAAAAATAAAATATGAAATATTGCCTTGAGTAAAAGTAATTTTCAGATCAACTGTCAGCTGATCTAGCCTGTATTATTTTCGTGGACGAATTTGCTCAGGCTTTGCATTGTTTGTCCATCAAAAGCTGCTATAAAGCGCGACAAGGAACAAAGCTCAAAAGCGGGCAGCTGGCTATCAATCATAATTGATTGAACTGGAAGGCATTCACCAAAAGAGATTTTGTAGAGCAGAGAAATCTTCGTTTAATCAGCTAAAAACCACAAAAATCTCACAACTAGAAGCCTTAAAAATTTTTGGTATTGAAATTCTCCAACATGGCATGGCCGCGGAGGGGTTTTGCAAAACGGCAAAACCGGCAGTGAGGATTCGAACCTGTCTAGCGAATATACGCGTGATCTCATAAGCGAGATGCTTACCAGAACACCACGTATACTCTGATAATGATCACTTGATCATGAACCCCATCACTGATTTGATTTTGTTTCGACGTGTTTTCCCCGGCTGTAGGTCAAGCCGAAAGCCCTAAGGTGATTCGGCTTTATGCCGAGCAATGAGCTCTCGTATCCCGGCTATCACGGCTAATATCCAGCTAATCCCGCTGGTTACAATTTGGATGGAGCCTAAAAATTATGTTTGAACCATTTATGGACATGGACTCCAAAATTCTTTGTTCGAGAAAAGTTTTTCTGGAGTGAATGCAGCTTGGAGGGCGAAATTCTGTCGATCCATGACTGCACAGCCTGGGTCAAAAATTTGCACTGATCTCCCCCGAACTAATCCGATTTTAGAACAGATTATGTCCTTTTACTACCTATAGAATTTTTAACGCTATTTTACTCTCTTAAAGCCTACTTGAACTGCGCTGCATAATTTTTTAGGCAGGGGTAAGGAGAGAAATCTACAGTTTGAAAGATTCATTGGAATAAGGTGATAGACCTGTTTTGGTCTAAACAAATTTCTACTCAATTTAAGTAGTAGAGGTAAAAGGAGTAATTGGAACAGAAGTAGAAAATAGCGAATTTGCCTTATTCTTTTTGTGCAATACTATTTTCCCATTTTTTCCTCATTGATAGTTTGGTTGCTAAGATTTCCTTGGTATTGTCAAGGGTTTTAAATTTTAGCGCCTAAATGTACTTCTCATTAAAATAATTCCAAGTTTGCCAGCTTAAAGATTTTTTCGTGCTCGAATACATCCCTTTTCCACCGGAAATACATCGAAGGAAAGAAAGCTAAGCACTATTCTGAAATTTATGACACTCTTTTCACCTCAAAAACCCTCAGAATTCTACTTGAGTCAGGTCGAACCATTGAATATAACAAGACTGTTGAATTTTTATAATTTTTTTCTATCGAGAGTAAAATAGTTTTTGTTTAGGTCCCATAGACAAGTTATTGAATTTCTACCAATTTTCAAAGATTTGAGCAATGCTGACCCAAAGCTTGACCCATTGCAAGAAAACTTATGTCTGTGACGTCACCCTTTCTCTCTATATCTCACTTTTACGGCCACTAACTCTCACAAGGCCTCAAGAACCTTATACAAGTCCTCGCATCAAGACCGAATCTCTCACTCAAGAATTGAACTTGAGCAAAGCGAATATAGGCGTGATCTCATAAGCAGGACACTTACCAGATCACCACCGATACTCGATGTAACGGACTGTTTCACGTTCACTTTGACACTGATTCAACACTATGATCACGTGCTTTTCTGGCATGTTTCATAGGATTTTCCAGTTCACTGAGGTCGAAATGAATGGTCTTTTCCTCGGTGGCTTTAGCAGCAAATCGCAATATTTAGTGATAGCACCAATATTGAAACGAAGCAAGAAGAATTGTGTTTTATCTTCTGTAAAATGTCGTAAGATTTTTTTTATACAAAAATAGTCTTCTTAATGTTTATGAAATTGAAGGTTTGAGCTGCGCACCATCAATCACTGCTACTTGCAGAAACGAAATTGAAAATTGTAAAAACCTACTCCCTCTCAAGTCTTGTAAAATTAACGTTCAAATTCATTAGAAAAAACAGGCAGATCCCCTATTTAACGATCATATCGTGATAGATAGGATATGGTAACGAATCAAGCTGTTCCATTTACACCTTATAACCCAGCTTCAAATCTTCAAAAAGGAAAACTGCTGGTTTTTGAATAGGATCCTATTCTTCACGATTACATATCAGTTGAATCTATAGGAAGTGTGAAAAAGAGAACAAGAAGAACTTTGGAGAGCCATGTAGTGTGAATAATCAGATGGCGCATCTGAATTAAATATTTTTTAAAACTACATCAAAAGACTGGATCTAACTTAAGAGTCAACACGAATTACTGGAAAAACTTATATACGAAGATTTTCGAGAACTTCTCTCTGATTCCTTATAAGTTTGAGTAAAGAATTTCAATGGTACTAATATTCGATTGTAGTTTGCAAATCGTCAAGTATAGACTCTAGGTAATCGCAGAAAAAATTCTTATACTCTCTCGTCCAAGCTGTATCAAGAAAATGGAAATCCCCCCAAAAAAAGTAGTAATAAAAAATAACGCAAAAACTAAAGGATGCATATCAGCTGACCTTGTTCAATTTGCTTTAAAGCGGAAAAATTTATGAGATTCTTTCCTAAATCTTCGAAGTGAACCAACAACAAACCAACAAACAACCAACAACCAACAACCAACAACAACCAGTGAACAAACCTTTACCGAAGGCAAATGAAATATGATAAAGTCTCTGAAACTGTAGCTCGAAAACATTCTTGAGTTCTTCTTCAAGTAATTCTCATTTTCTACTAACCTCGACTGGTATGCTACGAGCATCCAGGGCTTTAGCGCAACCAAAGACAATTGAACGCCTTGGTAAGGTAAGATACTAAAACCCAGTGGAGAAATATGTACTTCCTTGCTTGCCTCGGTTCCTTGCGCCCAAGGACTGACTTCTTCAAAGGGACCTCCAAATGGGGATCTAGTCGGCGATTCAATCCAACTCGTATCCTCTACATAAGCCTACACTTCTAGCTAAGACTTTTACTTGAGGATACCGTACCAGCCATCTGTTTCAGACGTTTCCAAGATAAATCTCGTCTATCCTACTGTAGCATATGGGCTGAATCGTAGAGTATACGGCCTGACAGCTGTCTCCACCAGGCCCTATGTGTGCGTACAGTTTGTCCAACACTCTCGCTAGCCATCCACGTGTGTTCAGGCACGTGTTGTGCTTGATAAGTGCGCTTTGTTCGCTCCGTTAACAGGGTGTACGTGGTGGTCTGGTAAGTGTCGCGCTTATGAGATCACGCGTATATTCGCCGCGCAAGTTCGACGCCTGTCTACGGTTTTTGCTTTTGCATTGAACAGCTGCATCCATTGGTAATAGACTTAGTGGGGTTCTGCGAAAGTGACGGCAGAAATTTGGCATAAGTTGATGGCCTCGGTTTTATTCATTTTAACGTAATTCTAGCCATTTAGCGGTCATATACCTCTGAGTTTTGATGCAAATCTTACGGTAAATTTCTCGGTTAGACCTACTTAGATTCTCCCATTCTGTTAAGAACCCCGGAACTGGTCACTTCTCTTGAACTATGGAAAGAAACTCGAGGTTACCATGATCACCATTACCTTAGTTTTTGGCTAATCAAAGTTTTTGTATTGAAATTACATTTCAAACAATCGCCGTGGTAAAAGAAAACTAATGAAAGCTTATTCTGTGATCCTTTTTTCAAACAACTCATTTTTTCTTCTTTTCAGGCAATTGCACGTTCAAGATCGAATAGTCGTGAACCAATCAAAGGTATGATGTTGAATTTTGGAATTAAAAGAAATAAACTTCTACTTTGCAACTACCTCGAAGTCTTTGCTGTCAGCAGGTTACCGGCTTGAAGTGCAAACTAATCACGCGCTAGATAATTGCAGTATTGCCATATTTGGCTCATCTTTTGCAATTATTTTCGCAGGCATATCAGTTTTTTAGCTAATTGGCTACAATCAGCTGGAGCAGGAGGGGAGGGAAGGAGGAGTTGCAAAATTCTTTTTTTCACTAACTTTCCTCTAAAGTGGAGCACTTTCCGGATGAAGAGAAGTGGCATGAGCCCTAGAATGAATGAACATTACCCCGATTTTCGCGAATTTTTAACTGAAAAAATGTAGAGAAAAATGAGGTTGACGAATTTTGTGCTAAATTAAAGTATTATGATTGAATTATTCACAAGTGTGAAATATGTCCCAGTGGACGGTTACTTGAGTGAAATTGCGCGTTCTAGAAATGTGGTCCAAATAAAGGGCCGGGCATACTTCACGCGATTTCAGTCGCGACACGATTTGGCATATTCCAACTGTCCATAACTCATTGTAAGCACATTTTAAATGCACAGAAGATAGGGCATTTCATCAATCCACTTAAGTTATACACACTTTGCTAGTGTTGAATCTGAAGACTTCTGGCGAGCTGCCAAATAGCGTCGCAACTGAAATCGCGTGAAGTATGCCCGGCCCTTAAAGCGGCTCTCTAGTTTGCGAATCTTCGAAATTAAAAAGCATATAAGATACGATTTTTGAGGGCGCTTTAACACGGATTTGCAATTCGTATCTCTACATCTTCTGGTCAATATGACATTACCCTTATGCGAAACTTGTTGTCTTCTCATCTCTAACTATAAGTAAAATAGAGCTGAGCTATAAACCGTCACACTATCTTGATTAAAATATGTAGTACCAACTGTCGATTTACTTTCGCTTTCTCAAAAAAAAACTGAGCATTTCTGGCAGTTTTGCTAGGTGTATTGTTTTGGATTTGGGCAGCGAATATGAATCACAGCCTCTTGCCAATTCTTACCATATATTCAATAATGAACGCTACCTAATTCAAGCTCAAATCTCAATAGTTAGAAATATTTGGTTTATATATTTCTATTTGGGCTGACAAATTCTATCATTTTGCTAGCTTTTTGATAAGTTTATCTAAATTCACACTAATTACATCAATTTTTATTCTTGCGGGTTATACTGGTCTTTTTTTACATAACAAAACATCCACAGAAATTGTAGCGACCCACTGAAAGTAACTACAAATTACAGTCATTGTTAGATTGGAAGATCTGTTACTCTGTCTCGTAAATTCACAACTTGTTACCTCACGCACTCGCTAGATTTTAAGTCGTGCAGAAGAATAGAAATCTTGCTCATCATTGCCACACTTTACTTCTTCATATTATAACCTGGTGGTGCAAAAGAACAGGCCTACTTTAATTTAGCAATTTTTATGCTAACACATCCAAAAATTTGCAAAGATGCGCCGAAATCGTAAATGCCAATGATAACTTCATTTTCATTTATACCTGCACCGTTTCAAATGAAAAATAAATTAAAATGGTAGTAGTACAGTAAAGTTGGCCGACTTTTTTGAAGGGTTTACCTTGGGTCTGGCTTTTCAATTCTATTAGATTCAGGTTTGATTACTTTTTCATATGAAAAATTAGATGATTTGAGAGAATCTAAAAACTTTTTGTACTTCGCAAAATTATGATTCTCAGCTTTCGATAATTCTCGGGCATTCGACATGCTTTCCTTGACTAGAACGGGTTTGAAGGCAGTGTCCCGGCAAGTTTTGCATTCCTATCTTTTTGCACGTTTTGGGCCTTTTCGACCCGTAGACCCCGAATACGAGCTTTAAAACGGGTGAAAAGACCTTCTTCGGGGAGTTTATCCAATTTCTAAAAGTCAGCTTGGACGAGAATTGCAGTGGAAAGTTGGGAGTGGCACGAAGACCCTGCTGCCTGTAATTTTTGCTTCGGATAGCATGTAAAATGCGAGAGGGCGTGGGGTTCCGTGCCGAACGGTAAGCGAAGACGTCTGAGCGCGCGCCAATTGGGTTGCGCGCGCCAGTCCAAGGGCTACTTTCTCGGCCCATGGGGAACATCAACCAATTGGACTGCGCTCTGGAGGTCAGTGGGATGACTAGGAACCCCACCACAGCAATATCCCCAGGGCGAGAATATGCCGGGACACTGCCTTCAAGGCCTAAGCCATACCTCTCGCGTTTTCGCGGAATCGCCACATCCTCGCGACTTGGCGATTTGCCAGATGTCTAGAGATTAAGCATGCGAGGCTCTCAGATGCATGGGTGCGTAGACTCCGTAAATTGTAACAAACACAGCAAGTCTGGCCCAAGCAAAGCGCGTTTACGACCAGCTATGGAGAGTCGTTGCAGTGCCAAATCGCGCGGCGACTAAAATCGCGTGAGGTATGCCTTAGGCCTCAAACGTAAGATACTCGGTTTTGTATCCACTCGCATCTTTGGCATCAGCCCATACCTGTAAGCCTTGAAGGCGAAAGTGTATAGCGCATGGTCCTCATAAAGATTATTATTCAAATTCGTTGAGCAGACAATTTGTGACTTTCAAATGAAGAAGCAGCAGGATTCATTTGACTTGAAATTAACCTCAGTTGGGGTCAGTCGACAACCTTTGGTTGACTGCATTTGCTTGGAAATCTTGTACAAACGCGTTTGGAACATCAGTTCTTTTCCCAAATTTATTTGTAAATTGGTATAAAGTTTATACCTATTGTTCCCATGTCTAGCGTATTCATTTTAGAGGCAAAAACAATTTTTTCTGATCTACCGGCTCAACTTACACCGTCAACAAGAGAAGCGATGGCAGTCGCCAAAGAAGGAAGTAAGTTCAGAATGTTGCAACGCTATCAATCCCTCACAACATGTCTGCAGAAAAAATGGCGGCATCCATAACATCACCAAAACAGCAAGCAGGTACATATAGTGCTGTTTTGCGCTCTGGAAATTGCAAAGTATCAAGCGTCATTTTTAGAAAATGCCGCTCGGGAAGAAAATGCCGAAAAAACAGTTACCGAGGAAAAAATGAACGAAATAGGAACAAATTAGACAAATAAAAATCATTAAGCATGATAAACCTCTTGACTTAAGTGGCTCAGTGTTTGCTTCGAAAATGTCAGCCTCGACGAATGTGTCAATGTTTGCACGAAAGAGTGCAATTTTGGTGCACATTACAGCAATAATTACAGTAAAATGACCGTAATCAAACAATTACATGAAGTGCGCCAGCAGTGCTGTTGCTTCCTCAATACTGTTGCAATCTCAAGATTACAGAGGCCTCTTACTGTTGCATTTGGTGTTGAGGCGCTGCACTAATGTCGTGTTGTTGTTAACCAACATATTTTTGTTGCATTTAGTGTTGCCACTGCCACATATCGCGTTGCCGTTACGCAACATTTCCTGTTGCATTTATGTTGAGGTTCTGCATTAAGAACGTGTTGTCGTTCCGCAAAACTAATGTGGAGGCTGCGAGGCGTCAACACTATGACTAATATATCAAAGAAATTGATATTTGTCAGATTTTTCCTCTTTTTCATCAATTGCGCAAATTACTGAACTTTTATCTAATCATATACAAAAATATATATCTCTGAGTAATCACATGACATGTCTTGAACACATATTAATGTACTTTGCAAGATGTGCAAAAGCGCCCCTTTGGGACAGAGTAATAATATTTGATGAGTATTTAAGAAAAATCGAATGCATTGACAATGTAAGCGCAGAACACAATATTTGATTGCTGACAATAAGATGATGGTGACATCTATGTACAGTAATCTTTTCCAAACAACAATTAGAAAGCTTAACCGGGACAATCTAGTTATTAGTAGATGCCTAAGGAACGTACAAGTTTGGAAATGCTTTGATTACGAGAGGATACTAGCGCATATTTTAGATGCATAATTATAAATGAAAAGATCACAGGCTAAAGAGGGGGATAACATCCATCATAGGCTGTTACGATCATAATCGGTTATCGTGACTAGAATCATGTGTTTCTTACAAAAAATAAATGAGATAAACGATAGCCGATTCAATCGAAGCAATAAACTAGACCATAAACAACTGTAAACTCATATATAAATACGTACTATACAGTAAAAAATATGCTTGCAATTGAACAGTCAAAAGTACCCATCATTATGAGAAGGCAGCATGAGGAGCGATACGTGCGTCAAAATTGACGCAGTACGAAACAATAAGATGTTAATCGCTACTGTATCCTGCAATTTTTCTTCTTCTTCGCTTTTGCCGGGGATTCAATTCGGCGATCCTCTGGTGCCGTTCGCTCGTCATGTTGGAATTTTCTAAAAATTTGGAACTTTAGTGGACAACAAAATAATGCGATTGGGGAAAAAGCACATCCTCCGCAATAACGAGCACAAACTAGTGTCAACATTTAGCGTGATTCTCGATTTCCATCCCAATTTGGCTGTTTATGCTACTTGCGACAGCCGTATCGCGTGTCGCCCTTTGTGTGTGGTGTGTGTTGGAACAAAGCTGAGGCGATGTGTTACTGGGCAAATACGAGATCCTTCGGTCAACGATCACATCTCGTTTAAGCTAGATCCGTAGTCGCAGTGGGCACAATGAGAGCTACGGAAAGCGGGCAAACTTAGCTAATATGTGCAAATTTTGGCGCTTTACTCAGCAAGTATGGTAATTTTCGCGCATTAAAATTGCAATAATGCATTCATACTTCCTGCCATATTTTCGAACTATGATTCGCATGCATTTTATGTATGAAAATCGTACAATTATTTACACTCACAATCAACCTCGACTAACACCAGCTCAATGTATACTAGCCGAACGACTACACTGCAATTACTTCACGCCTCTTCACCCTACAATTGCAAAACACAGCACATAAATCATTTATAAAAAACAAGCGCCTTTCTTCTGGTTTTTCTAGGATTACACAAGGTTCGACCTCAAGTCACTCTAGTACTCCGAATGAAAGTGCACATTTAACACGTGCCAACCAAGTTCAACCCCTAGTTCCAGATCGAAAAAATTGAATTTTCAATGATTTACATCTACTATAGCCAAGCATAGGACTACTTTTGGAATTCAATAATTTGGGATTTTCCTTTCATACTCAACGAAGAAGCGGAGATTGAGCGGCTAAGCTAAGCAAGTGTGCTAAAGAGGCGAACGGTGTTTGCTTAGCGTCTAAATCGCTTAAAATCGCTAGAAAACGCGCCCGTGAAATAAACAAAAATTCGTACTCAAATTTCTGCAAAGATTTTTGCACAGGAAGATTTGAAATAGTAAGGTACATGCAAAACATACCGTACTAATCGGACAACGCCATGGAAGGCTTGATCTACGTTCAACCGTAGCTTTGCCGAACATTCAACATAGGGAACATTCAAAGATCGTGCAAGTTCCTCAGCTTCTGCTCGAGTGACCTGAAAAAATCGGAATTCTCAAACTTCACACGTACCGAAGTTGTCAGTCACAAAGCAGCACCATATGCAAATTTTTTCACAATGATTAAAAGGCGATTATGCATCAGATAGCAGTGGGAGTCATTAGTCAAACGAAAAATGTTTCATGGAAACTCGTGCATATCTTATAACTCTTGGATGCTTTTTCAGTTAAAAAGACGATGACAATGATTGACGAGTTTTATGAAAACTAATGCAAATCGATGCCCGCAATGCAAGACTTTTTTGATTTTTCGAAACGGTTTGCCAGTCTATCAACCGATATTGTTCGAAGAAATTTTTTCAGCGAAGTTCTTGAGAAAACGTGAACGCAAAAGTCAAGAGTCAAACATTTTTCGAAGGATACTGCGAAAATTCTAGAGCTCAATCCATTCGATGCTTAAGAAGTAAGGGAAAAAGATTCTAAGAAAGGATGATTGATTGGCGCATACCCAACAAGAATCAAAAAGAAATAAGACTAGAAATTTTATGAAGCAAGAAAAACCAATGATTGTCCCTCGATCGTAATCGTTTCAAACACTCTCCCTTGTACTGAACCGGCCAAACACGCTTTTTCGCCGTCAAACGAAACAAAAACTTTTGCCATACAAAGGACTCTTTCACAGGATCAAAGGAAGAGAAAGGCATGCAAGGAATGGAGTTCTGGCATGAGCGGGAAGGTTCAAAAATGGTTTTGAACACCAGCCATTCACCACGAAAACTTGATGAAAATAAACTTGTTGGACTAAATAGATGCTAATGATTGAGTTATGCCCTACCCAGTGTACAAATCCCAAGTCATCTCGTTCTGCAAAATCTTCTATCCGCAATGCTATTTTCCCTATAAATTGGGTGGCACCGTTCCGCCGAGCGCAACGAGGCGCAGGAAACGAAAATTAATGATTGTATCCGACCGCAGCGGGAGTTCGCTTTTCTGATTGATATCTTTATAGTACGATGTCGGGAATTCGGAGAAAATTCAAAATTTAGATTCACTAGCGAGTTTATTACACAAGAGGAATAGATTTATTGATCCACGATGGGACTTAGTAAAAAAAATAAAAAGAGACAACTTTTTGAACAATGGAGGAACTTTTTGAATAATGGAGGCGAGATAGAATTAATGCCGAGACTGAGAATGGGGGTGTTCAAGAGTCGTATTAATTGAAAAAGAATATGTAAGTGAAAACTGCGGATAAACGTATCCAGGCTGTAAAGATACAAATCTGGTCCTTAGCACTCTTCGGAGGAGAAGCGAGAAATAACTAGAATTAGAGTGGTTTGATTTGTATAATGTGCAAAAAAATTTTAATAAATTTTATTTTTATCGTGTCTCCCTATTTTCTATCGGAGAGATACTCCCACAAGAAGAACAGATGCCAATACTACAAGGCAAGCACGTTCGGCAGCTTTTTCTTTCGATCAGTCGAGATACAAGGTCGACTATAATCGAAAGAGAAGTTTTTACGACAAAGTGGTATAAAAAGTGATCTTGATCTCATATCAAGGGCAAAATAACACCAGGTAGTTGATTACAAGAAAACATAACTGCAAATTAGACGACACGACTGTACTAGCCAAGTCTATAATTCCATCCAGTTTTGATGTTTTGTAGTCCCTTTTGGCGGACATTGTAGACCTTGCTAGTTCTTTTTTCCACGATACACGTGGTGCTTTATTAGGACCATTGTCTGATACACTAACGACCGCCAGTTGACGCGATTCGGAAACGTACGATGTCTAAAAAAAACACTGTTTTGTAGTGCATTGATTAGACAAGGATATCCCAGCATTAGACTCTATAATCTCTGGGTAGTGACTTTTCAACAAATGCAGGCAAGAAAATTTCAGAAAAATTGTTGGGTGCACACTTTTCTACCATTTTCTGACTGAGCAGCGACAATTTAGCTATTTGCAACTGCAGAATCGTGTTGCTTGCAACTACATTATTGCGTAGCGATGCAACAACACGATTTGCGAGTTTGTGCAGCTACATAGTCGTGTTGCTTGCAACTACATGGTTATGCTGCGATGCAACAACAATGTGTATGAGTTCAGCGAGTTTACGAACTACATATCAAAGTAATATCAGTTCAACTTCTTTTACAAGTGATCAGTACTTCCTTTTGAAAGAGGAAGTCTGCTTCCTGCCCCTTCCTCCCCCTCCCCTTTCATCCTCTGCCTCCTTTTTCACGTTTTCCCAAGTCTCCTGTCTGTCTCATCCTTGCCTTATTCCATCGACGTGTCTCACTCCTCTCTTTCACTGCAAGAATCACATCAGAACATTTGCAATTCCCGCACTCTCATTGAAATCAATGCCGCGTAAAGCAATGTCGCTTTTTGGGCATTGATCCATGACCTCATTCGATTACGCAAACCTGGGAGGAAGAAATCACATCGAATCAGCGCGAGTTACACATGAAGGACGCGCTATGGCAAGAGTAAAAAAGGACTCTTAAATCTGAATGGACAGGATCGACGAGGTCCAAAGGTAGTTAGCAGCTATGTAGAGATTTCGGCGTATAACTGCAAAGATGCCATGAGGTACGTTGATGGTTCCCCTTCTAAGTGGAGAATTTGTGTCATTTCATGACTCTGACTGGTCCTGATAGGGTACCAAACGAGTTCTAAAATCTAACGACCTTTTACCGAAGAATAAGTGCCATGAGACATTGACAGAGGCTGGTATTTCAGCAATGTCATAAAATATATAATATAAACAGTAGCTGAGAGCGAGGGAACGAGTTAAGTGGTCGCAAGCACCTTCTCCACCCAATCATGCTCTCATCCCTCGCTCACTGATTTCAGCTGCAGCTCCCTTTAACCAAACATCTAAAGCCAGCAGAAGCTAACTCTTTGTTAACATTCCTCATCGTTATTGACCTTTGCGCGGCTGCTGCTGTGCTGCGCTGGTGGAACGGGCAGTTTTTGCGCTGGAGAGAGAGCTGAAAAGCTTGTGCTGACCTCATCCTGACGTCTATGCGCAGCAGTGCGGGCAGCTGCTGAAGTGTTCGATCATTTGGCTACTGCTGCTGTCGCTCTTCTTTGTTTCAGAGCTTCTGATGTTCGAGAATCTGTACGAAGAGCCTGCGCGATAGAGATAGTCTGGTCAGGTCAACATAGCCGGAAAAAACACTGCCAGTAAATGTCGCCAATTCCGCGAACTGGTCATCACTTTGCGCGGCATCAATGCCTTAGATTTGCTCCAAAGAAAGTTAAAACGAATTTGTTGATTTGATTTTCGCCCTGTGTGCTACACAGTCTCTCAGAGATGGAAAAACTCGAACCCAGACGGCGTCTAGCACTGGCACCTGCGACTGAATGGGATGACAATGAATAAAAAATCAAAAACCTGTTTTCAAAGGGCTTTCGAGGAATGAGGTGTGTTCTTTCAACACATTGATTAGGATACGCGAGTCCGGCCCCCAGAAAACCTACTCTAAAACAACAAATGGAGTATCTTAACAGTAAGGGAGCATAAAAAAGACATAAACTTGGCTGACGAGGGTTAATGAGGGCATCTAAGTTGATCATAAAATTCCACCAGAGAACAAAGGACAGACGTATTTGCACCACACCTTGCTCAGACCTTTTCACTTCTCCCCTATGAGCACTTATCTAATATGCACTTAGCGGTGAAATCATTGAGAGCAAAACTTCTTATCGCCGACCGCATAGACGCTCTCACAGCTGTAAACTTGCTTTATGCACAGATAATAGTAGTGTGGAAAGATTAAGTCAGGGAAAGTGACACTTCAGTAGGTTTTAGTGCGGATATATGGCTTTGTTTGGCTGTGACTAAAGGAATTCACTGAGAGGAATAGAACTATTTGCAAAGGAATAAGAAGTGAAAAAAACTGAAAATTTAAAGTGCTTTGGTGTATAGAGGCTGAGATAGTGAGCGATAATGCTCGCGAAATTTGAACGCATTTTCAGTTTGTTACTTGTAATTACGCTTCCCTCATGCTGTGGTCTTCAAAACGAGATACATAAACAGGTAAACAAAGAGGCATAACAAAGACGATAAGTACGTGCCAGAGCGATGATTGTGTAGATAAGAAGTAAAAAGCTAATAATAACTCACATGCCGCTCGTTCTCCAAATCTGCTTTGTTTCCTACGAGTAAGACTGGGAAATCGTCACGGTCCTTGACTCGACAAATCATTGTGTGCAGTTTCCGAACCTCCTCGAAACTGAAATCAAAATATTGCTTGGATGCTGATTTCCTTGCTTTGCTTTTGTTTTTGTTAGTCCCTATCATTGTCATCTCGCCCGCGCCTTCTCTCTGGGGACTACCCACACTGGACCAAAACCCAATTCAACTCGTCCATAACCGCACTCACACAAACAAGGGTCTGAACTCTAAAATTGCTATGTACTAGAGATTGCTGAACACTCCGCTATCATCATGCTATTTCCAACGACGCATGTGTCGCGTCCGCAATCTGAAAAGGATTTATGGCCATTTCACCACCTTGGTCGTCCAGCACCCACAAAACTCACTCGTAAAGCGCGAGACACGTCACACACATGCACACACTCATACTGCCTACAATAACAATGCCGTCAATGGCCGTTTATACTACTACAGTGGAAGATCTATAGCGTACAAATGCTGGTGCAGTTATGACACGAAGCTGGCGGTGCAAAGTCTTGCACAGTAATGGTGCATGGATGGTGCAAACATGGGACATTGCAACAAGACTGAAAATGCAACTGCGAATTTTTATTGCAGCAGCAATGCATCAATGGATTGCAACTACAACTACTGCAGGAACACTGCAACAGTACTGTAAACACAACTAGCAATGCAGCAATACTGTAAATGCAACTATTTTATTGCAGCAACAGCAACAATGCCTTAAATGCAGCCACAACTGGGTGCAGCAACAATATTTTGCGAAAGCAACCGTAGACGGGTATTCAGGTGAGCATGCAACTACAACTTTGACGCAAGGGCATCAATGTAGCGGAACAACCACAACTGTACTGCAGAGAAAGTTCTTCGTTGTAATGCAACAATGCGTTGGGCACAACAACAATGTTGCGGGGCAACAGCAAAGTTATCGTATTGTTAGTTTTATTTTGAGATTTTTCAGATTTAAAGAAAAGAAAATGAGAAGAATTTATGAGGATAATCATCATACCGCTAATCTGGCACATTTTCGTAGTATTTTATCAGATGTTCAAAGTTCCCCGCGATTTTTATCCTTCCAAATAGGGGAACCAGCGTGCGATAAGAAAGTTTCGCTCAGCTTGACCTCAACCACAACCTCCTTTCTACTTCCTCGCTCTGCCAAGCCTATCCACAGTCAAATTTCGGCATTTGCACAGAATGATGCCCGAGTTGCAAAACAAATTAGCTGCTGGATGCTTCTTGGTCTTTCCGAGATCCATGCCATCTCCTCGCACCAAAGCACAAAGAATTCCGCATAGTCACGCTCGCACAACAAAGTCTACTATACATCACTTGACAGCGACAACGCGAGCCCCGCAGTTGTGCCCGTTCTTTTCCGTTCTTCTCTCTTATTGCGGTCGCACAAACAGCACACCGTCGGCCCTGTCATCGTTCCATACCGCAGTCAGAGCGCACCATCGGCGTTGCAAAATCGATTACGATTGTTTACGCTGAAGAATTTATTGTTCAAACTGATAAAAAAACTGATAATTTCAGAAATCCCCGGTCGTAGGACGCTCTTTGAAATAAGGCAGCTTTACAGACCGCGAAGATAATGGAATCGCAGCGCGATGAATCACATATCCGCTGAACATCATTCTGAACAAGTTCATTGTGTAATACACACATTTCTCAAAAGAGCGTATCATCATTAATCCACTCTACAATGTAAGGAAAAAAATTCAGAATGTGTACAAATCCCCCGCTTTTTTTACACTAACGTCTGTTGTCCAAGAAAAATGACTGACAATCGTCAATAAGTGATTGGCGCCGTAAGCAGAAGAAAACAGGCAATTTCTCACGAGGTCAAAGAGAAGTGCAGGAACAGGAGAACGAATGTGTTTTCTTACAAATCTCATGCTATCCAAATGTTATCCCACGACATTATAAATGTGTTTTGCGCAAGGGAGATAAGTGCTGGCTAGGCGGAGAAATCCCTGCAATGGTCAATTGTACTGCAGTCACTTTACTTGGTGCTAAATCATCCTAATTGGCTATGTAGAAAAGGATGTTCCTCAGATTTTCAACTCTAAAAAACTGCAGTCATAATCTATCGTTAAACCAAGATTTTTGAAAAAAAAACTAAAACTGAGAAGAGATATAAAAACTAATTAATTTCCATCAAGAAGTTGGATAAGTTGCAGAGACTTAACAACACTTAGGCTAGAGGCTCTTTTTCCATATACAAGTCGAATTAGAGCCTATGATTTTTAGACGCATTCTCTATCGCACTCTTCGTATTTCTGAGCTTACTACGAGCGAGTAAAGAATACTTTTGACAGCTGATACTTGACCACAAACTCCGCGAGTTCAAGCTTCAAGTTTCACTAAGTATCATTGACCACGGCACCTTCTTAAGTGCTCGTAACCCTCAATCTTCAAGAAGGCTTTTAGCCATTGCATTACAGAGAGGAAAGCGAAGGAGCCACCACTACGAAGCGTGTGCATTAATACTTGACGAAGTGGTCTCTGCCGGCTTGTTTGGACACTTGCACTGAGAGCGCGGGTGCCGTGCTCTTTTGAGTCTCATCGTAAAAGATGAGAGTGCTATTCGTTCACTAAAGTCGAAATGTTGCAATTTTAACGCGGAAGCTACCATTTGTTACGCGATTCCCCAAAAATTTTCCATTTTCGGATGAAAAACGCTGTCCAATGAAGAATGAAGGCTGGCAGAAAGCCAAAAGAGCAGACTCTAGCAATATAGCACAGGTTTGTGTGAGTAACCTTTCTGCATCATTAAGGCAAACATTTCTCGGGCATTTTTGTTTGAAAAAGCTTTATCGATTGCTTGTCGGTTTTGTAAACGATTGTTTGAGCGTTAAGTGCAACAGAAGGAAAAGCAGATTGAAAATGTTCTCTTTTCCACAAAAGTAGGAAAAAAATCAGAATAAAAATCATGAATCTGTTTGGTTCGATAAAAATTGTCACGACATAATAAAACAATAAAGGCACGACTGCAAAATAGAAGAAGATAATTGCCGTAGATTAGGTTTTTCAATTTAGGTGCAAATGTCTCGACAATTTCCTAACCAATTATTTGGATTAAAAGCAAAGTTTTTTTCTGAACTCAAATTCCTTGCGATCGATAAGACTCTGAACTGTCCTTATCACTACAGTTCCAAAATCCTTTCACCCTCTCGCACGAAATTTCGTCGCTCGACCCGCGCTGTACGTAATACCCAACGCAGACAACCTCACGTCTCTTACGAATTTCTCGTCGTTCAAATCGTAAAATCCGACCAAACAAGATGCTCACCACCGGTCAAACATACCCGTCTCGCTATACAATGCATATACAAGAATTTAATTTCAAGTGAAAATCAATGTTAGTAATTTGCACTAATGTTTATGAAAAGATCATATTCAAAACTGAGGGTACTAATTACACAGCAGCAAGCGGAAGTGCGAAGATGATGCATGCAGTGCAATATGACGGCATGAATCACAAAACACATGAATACGGAGGAGCGATGGATCGGTATTGGTTTAAATTACTTTTTCTCCACGGGAAAATGTATCAAATATCGAAAATGAACAAAAAATGAGAAAAAAATTTCTTACCTGCTACGATCGGTCACAGCGAAAACTATGAGAAAACCACTGCCGGATCGTAAGTATTGCTCTCGCATTGTGCAAAACTCTTCTTGTCCAGCTGTGTCCAAGACTACAACAGGAATTTTTTGTTTTGAGGACAAAAAAGGATAAAAAAAAAACGATGCAAGAACATAAACAGTTAGTGAGAAAATGTGGAGGTGAAGCCAAAATATTTTTATCGTTTCACTTCGAACTGATTACTTTCAATATTTGCACTAGAAGTCTAAAGCAAACACACCATGGGAATAAAATTTCGAAGCAAACAAAGTCGTTGGAATAATAATCGAAAAGGAAGCAAAAAAGATAAAGTTAGAAATTGGCAAGAGCCCACAAGAAATTAATGGAAATTCGTTGCAAAATATTGATTTTGGTCTTCTACCATATAACTGGCTCTATGGTGAAAATTTTGCAGGAAGTGCTATAATTTAGAATAATTAATTAATAATTTATAATTTAGTTCTTGATTTGAGAATAAAATCAATTCCCATCCCGTCCCTTTTTGCTTTTCATTCAGAAGCTATATACCTTAGAACATGGCCTTAATTTTACCTTGATTTATTTCCTTTTTCCGTTCACCTCCAACCCCCCCCCCCCCACAGCGATTTCCCAATTTCGGGAATTCAGCAAACAAGAAGCCCTCCAAAGGATCCATGGGCCTCAAATAACTTGACAAATGTCCCTTCAAAAATAATAGCCGTTCCCAAAAACAAATAGATAGTTGATATATAGCCTCGATGTGGCCTAAATTTCCATGGAAATCAGTTCACGACTCGCGTCATGATTGCTCAAAGTTGACTTCCGTTAACGTCAATGTGGCGCACTTTCGTGTCTTCCTCTCTACGAGCGAACGAGCGGGAGATATGCGTACATGATTTATAACTTTAACTACGCTATCGATTCTCTTTGCTTTTTCCTAAGAATTTATCTCCGCCAGCCATTCAGCTATTCACAGCAGCAAGAAGCAAGAAGCAGTTTGTCAATCTGGTTTTGAGCAAAAGAATTTTGATAGGCTCTTCAGTCGTAGGAGGAAAAAAGTTTGCGCTCCGCTGAACATGTAGTCGTTAACCTAGTTTATAGATTATGATACACTTTGTTAGAGGGCAGAATGTTCAGTGTATGAGATGAAGGAGATGGAAGAATGGGAATTTGAAGAATGTTCCAATTAACCAGAAGATAGCCCTTTTTAAATGAGAGAATGTCAAGAAATGCACTGGAATGGAAATGAGAAGCTTCTACAGATAGCGGGTTTGGTTGAGCCCTTTGGGAAAGGGAATTTGGAACATAATTAACAATGCTGACAAAGACAAAAAAATAATTCAACTCACCCTCCAACTTGCAGAGATCCTCGTCGACGAAACATTGCTTAGTATATGAATCTTCTATCGTTGGGTCGTAATCTTGTACGAAATATTGCTGAAAGAAAATTTTTGAAGATAAAAGGTAAAGCAAATTTTTTTTCACTATATGATATATTGATATGTGTCTTAAATGCTGGATAATTCACTCTTCTATCGGCTATTACGTTTCTTTTGGTTAGATGAAGTTGAAGGTTTGCAGCCCTTGCTCCGACTTCAAAACCTCATATTTTCTGCGTTTCTTCGTAGCGCTCATGCAATCATCGCAAAAATTTTCAACATCGACTGATTCAGCCTCTGAATGTCGAGCCATGGGCATATTCAGAACTATCGATTGAATGTACGATTGTTCCTGCAGTACAAACTGCCAAACGAAACCGAATCATTTAAATGAGAGCGTGGCGGACAAGTTCGCAAACGAAAAAAGCAACAATGGCTGGTAGGATTACGTGGAAATCCGACACTTCCCTATTTGTTTACGTAACGATTCGAGAAATTCGATAATCAAAAGTGTGCCCCTCACATCGTCGCGCATGCTGCACGACTTCGACGCCGCGACCGACACGCCAGCCCCGGCCATGACTGCCATAACAGCACACAGCTGATTTTTCGCCTCTCCCAGGCCTCATCAAAATGCTCTTGCAGGCTGTAGTTATCGCCGAGCTGCCACTGGTAGTTATGCGGCCAAGATGACTACTGCGCTGGATTTGAAGTAGGTAGAAGGAGGTGTTTTGCATGCGAAAATGGAAAGAAAAGGTGTTTATGTGCGGGTGAGCTAATATGGGAGAAATCGCATGATCACTCTAATTCAGCTATGTAAACAAAGTTCTAGAAAACACAGACAATGAAAATATCACATTTGACCTAAAATTTAACTATCAATTAAAATTATGCAACAAGAAGCTACAGTATCCGACCCAATACATACAGTACTTTATGCAACTACATAATGCAATTGCAATGTTAGCCAACAAAGCAAGGGCGAATACTGTAAGCAAATGCAATGCAACAACAAGTACTCTTGTGCAACAGCAAATGCAACCACAAGTACTATAAGCAACAGCAAAATGCAACAACAATAATATAAGCAACCGCGGAATGCAATCACAAGTACTGAAGCAGTTGTAAATGCAACTACAATTTGCAGAAAACCGCATTCTGTACAGTACAGCCACAAGATTGACAAGTTAAATATTGTGTGCCTGAAGATTACAAAAAAGCTCCCAAAATTCGATTTTTGCGATGAAGTAGATTAGGCTGACTGACATCGTTCGTTCCATGAAGTATAGCTTAAACTGCCTCAAAAGGCGAAAACTCGTGAAGCAAAGTCAATAGTTGAATATAAACAATCGTTTTTGAAACTCTCCCACAATAGAATATGCTCCCTGGGCATCAAACGCTCGATTGCATTGTTATAGAGAAAAAATGACACGCGGAAATGCACTGTGATGTGGCCTTTTTTCGCTTCCTGCAGTTATGACTATGTCCTTCGCAGAGAGATATAAACATAAAATAAGATACGAAAAAAAGCACTTTTTTGCTTCCTGACATTGATGGATACATTAAATGAAAAAATGTCAACGGAGTGAGTGTTCAAAGGCAAACTTTGCACGAAAATTGTGTTCGCAAAAATAACCAAGGTTAGATGCACGGAAAGGAGTAGATGGAAGTGCACAGAAAATAGAGTTCGGATATTTACCAGCGCACGGAGCAGCACGGGGGAAATTTTGCTCGCAGCAACATCAAACACTACCCCGCGCGATTTGAAAGAAAGCGAGGTTCAGGTATGAAAATTGTAAAAAACTTATCAGACAATTGCTAAGAGTCTTATCTATGACGAATCTGTGAGACCTTTGTTTGGTGAGCAGCGATAAAAGCGAAAGAGCTAGAGAAGGATTTTTTTTGAAAGTTACTCTCAGATAGGATAAGTGCCGTGTGAACATAAACATATGGCGTTCGCCCTCATTTTGTCTATGAAAGAAGCGAACGCAATAAAAAAGGCTTTTGTGTCGGGCTGTTCAGTTCGTCTGATTATAATGGAAGTTCGTGAAAGGTCTTTTTTTCATCGAAGCGAGTGCAACAAGAAAGAACTTACTTTCAGATAGTTTTTTTAGGGCGAGAGTACAACATGGAAAAAATTAATTGCAAAACGAAGTAATAGTGAAAATGTTTCGAACCTGAATAAACTGTATAGTGAGTGCCGATTTACCGACTCCACCACCCCCGACGACCACAACCCGAAGTACGGCCGGAGCAGTGGTTCTGCCGGCAACAGTACTACCAGCAGTCCTGCCGCCACCACCCATCAGTGTGTCAGACGGCCAGATGCGGTCGGTTGGCGCTCGCCCGTCCGTCGCATGAACGGCTCCGCCCCTCACTCTTCCAGCCGCGGCGGCCGGGCTGCGACGACCGCCACCGCCACCCGCACTCTACGCACTCCAGCGTGTCCGCCGGCGGGCGAGAGTACTCTCCGAGCGCGACGTGCGACGGATTTTAGAGCCATACTCGCGCCGCTCTGGCGCTGGACACGTGCCAAAGTCCGGTCGCTCTTTGTTGTGCACCCGCTCTTTGAAAGGTGAACGACGATTGTGTAAGTGTACACACAGAACACTCACACAGTACAACAGTTGTTTCGTACACTATGTGTGTGTAGATGCCTGCAAAAAGCTCTTAAAAAAGGTCGACGAACTGCAAAATGGACGTGTTGTGTGTGTGCGTGGACATCAACAATGAATGGGAGGTGAAGAAAATGGGGAGAAGTGCGGTAAGAGTAGCGATTATCATGTTATTTTTGCGACTACTCTTGAGATTTGCGATTTACTGAAGTGAGGCTAGCTTAAATATCGAGTTAGGCGGGTTACTACTATACTCAATAGCGTGTAGCCGTTTTGAAGAGCGTGGACGAATAATAAACCAGAAAAGGATGAAAGCAGTAGTTTATGTTTTGGCTCCTTTCCTAACTCACGCAAGAACTACCGTAACCCCATCTAATGAAAAGAAACTATCATATCCACAGCTAATCCCTCTAATTTCGTCCAGTCTCCAGTCAAGAGCCAACATAACCCACAAAAACCACCCATATTGAACAATCAAATGGATTATGAGCGTGTGAAACAATCACCGGGCCGATCTTAAGTGGATTTTAAGCGCGCACCGTAATCGCGCGAGTCGAATGGGCGCTAAGCGGTCGGTGTGCGAGGGGATTATTGTTATGAACGTTCACCCCCGAACAACGTCGATGGTCACATATGGCAACCTTCGGCATTGTTCACGGGCTTTTAATTGTCAAGCGCACACGTTTTGCATAGATTCGAGCGCGTGCAGCAAGCAATTTTTTTGCGCGATTTGCACCCCGGCACATATTGGGATTGAATATGAATATCAATGTGTTTTTGTTTCAAAAGAGCAAAAGCTATGTTAGTCATGAATATGGGAATGCCATCATAGTTAAGCATGGAATTATCAATGAATTATTTCTGCGGAAAAATTGCTGCTGCATCAAAAATGCTTCCCAAAGAACGAAATAAAATTACAGTAGACTCTCCACAATTAGCTGACAATCTTCACCGAACATCTCCTCCCTCCTCCTCTCCTGCTGGTTCAAACCCCTCTTCATTTAGCCATGTTTCTCTTCTTCAAAATTGATCTCCTACCGTATTCCATAAGTTCGCTCCCTTAGGCTGACCTTATCTTAACCCCTTTGCGCACTTGTCATATTCAAAAGTGCTACTGCTCGCACCCACCCAAGTCGTAATCGGAGCCTGTTGTTGTTCAAGCGCGATGTGTTAGAATAAATGCCAACTGGTGTTGAATGTTTTGCGCCATGAAGACATTCGTCATCGCCTGTCAGCTTTTCTCACTCTCGGCTTTTCGCGCCTTTTCGCTTTCACAACCCCCTACGACCGACCGCCATCAGTCACACATCGATCAAAATGAAAACGAAAAGAACTCGCTCTTTGCGTATGTGACTTCTACTATGTACATATCCGCTGGTGCTGTTTCTCAAGTGCTTGAAAGCACATCTGTGCGAACGTAAGCGCGCGCGCAAGTGGTGCTAGCGCACAACGAACGCTGAAGAGCTGACGTTCCCCACGGCTCGTACGGGAATATGTCACGTTGTACAGTAACTGACTCTAGGAGGAGGACGGGGGCTAAAGAGGGGGGGGGGGGGAGGGGAAGAGCTCAGGCAGGGTACAGGTTGCAAATTAAGCAGACCCCAACTGTAGGAGATGTCGCCATAGAAATCTTTTCACTTTTTCCAAGGAAGTCCTTTGGATGAATCCATAATTTCAACGAACCGAAATGCGTCATATACTTCGTAATCACTTCCTAGAAGAAAGACTCATTGGTTGATACAAAGGGGAGTTTAATTTGATTTAATTTTTCAGATCCATCACTCACTAGAACCAAGTCTGGTATGGGTTGAAGAGATCGAAATTCTCCTCGGTTCTCATCATCCAAAAAAAGCGAGCCTATGTGGGGTAATTCCTCTGCATGCCGTTCATTTCAATTAGGAGTGATCTAATCTACCAAAAGTATGCAATACCTTTGTAGAGATTCTTTGTGATTACTAAACTTGTAAATTTGGAGATGTTGAGATGCGATTTTGCGTAGTTCAACAATTTGGCAAGTTCCCTTTGTTAAGTATTGTTTTCCAAACGTCTATGTATAGTTCGATTCCATGAGTAAAGGCCTCAGAAGTGCTCAACCTACATATGTGGCTAATTCGAAGAAATGAAGCTTATTACGATTTTCTATGACGAACGTAGTGGCGCACACATAATCATAAGATGAATATACATTTAGGTTTTCAATCGACATCTACGTAAAGTCGAGAAAGAACACCAAACAAATAGATTTTCCTTTCAATCTTGATTCTAATTCTATGACTCCTTCAATTTTCTTCAGAATTCATAGCAGTAGTTCTTCAAACAAATCCTTTCTTTCGCTAAAAGCATGCGATTTGTCTGAAATTACATACCATGTTCCGATGAAAAAGAGATTGGAAGATAATTTAAGATTTCTGGAGCAGTTTTCGCAGACCTGGGTTTTGGACAAACTGCGTAAAAATCAGTGTCTAAGGAGAAAATTGGCCCAAGCATTTTGGAAAAATAGGGTTTTTCGTGTCTGAGTGACCATGACCAAAATCAAACATTTCCGAAGAGCAAGAACAGTATTTGAATTTATTTAGCTTCATGAAAATGGTAGAATGAGTATTTACGATACGTTCGCACAACGTAAGGGCAGTCAGAACGAAAAAAAAATTTTTGGACTTGTAGGTCGACATTCTTTCCTTGCATTATCTAATAGTTCTTATTTTTTAAGTCGCGGATTTTTACTGTAATCTTACTGTAAGTTAATCCCAGTTAGACTATTTTGTACGCATGGTTGATCGCGTGATGTCATTAATGCGTCCTTCCACAGAGACATCACATAGTGAAATCCCAATTAGTGAACGAAAGTTGACCTTCGACGCCTCAGCCAACAATTTCTGGGGCCCGACCACACCGCTGAACAGAAACGGAATTTGGGACCAGGGCTCGGCACGAGGTGGCTAGATGAAAATGGAAAAAACGAAGTCCCCCTTGACTTTTGGGAATTTTTACGAAGTCCCCTTTGACCCTGAACCAAATTTCTTCTAAAAACCTGAAAAATTCCCGAAAATCCCCCAAAAACGAAACGTCGACTAAAAAAAAAGGTCGCCGTCGTCAATTTTCCGTATGTCTTCGCTCACAAAAACGAAACCCCCTTTGCTTTTCGTCCCAAAAACGATATCCAGCTTGCTTGTAAGCCACCTGTGCCGAGCCCTGTTTGGGACAGGACACATTAGGGTTGCGGATTATCATTTCACGAACATTATGTGGCACACAGGCGACATACTGAAGAGAAAAGTGAGTTTCAAATGGAAAACAAGAGCAGAGATTGGGTATGGGAAGCCGGACGGCGGGAGGGGGGGGGAGGGAGGGGGGAGTGGGAAAAAGAAAGCGGCCGACAAAAAAAAAACTGATGTGATTACCACTGTATTTACAGATTATAAATACGATAAATGCGCCTTTTCCGAGAAAAAAGGGATCCTCCTCCCAAAGTCAATACGTAGAATAAATAAAGTTCCAAATTTAGCTTTGAACTGCTTCCCTTTAAAAATTTCATAATTCGTCTGAGCACAACCAATCGAGTGTCAGTCGTAGAAGGAGTATAAAGCACAAAGAGTTCAACATATTCTTGCTAGAAAAAACAAAGTTCAGCTAGCTACTTCCATAGGAGATAAATCCAACTAAACGCTTTGTTGCCTATGTAATTAGTTGCATGGAATTTCTTATGTTTAGTATCATGCATTATTATTCCGAGCCAACATGCTTGTGGGAATGCAAAGCTTGCCCTAAATGAGTTTCAAGATACCATGACGGCGCTAATTTACGGATTCCTTTTTTAAAAATCTTTCACGATTCTTCTCAGCACACAAATCATTGAAGTAATAATCACTTGACAGAGTATTAGAAAATGAGTCTGATTGACAATTCACGTTGTTTGCTATTACTTTTGATTCTACTTTTCTTAAGAGGGCATTTTTAATAAAGCTGAGCCACAGGTTCCGAAGTTACTTGGGGACCAAACAATATTGATTGTGCTGTGTTAGCCACCACCTTCAATCGCCATTGACTAATTCGTAATTAAAATTTTTTTTTCGAAAAAAGGGAATTAGGGTGCGAAACCAGGTACTCATTACAACTCCTCAAAAAGGCTTAGCCATGAAACCGCAGTGAAAGCGTCTATGCTTGCTAGCTTCTCAAAACTTACTTAGGATTTTGCTCAACGAACGGCCTGAACTCACATGAAAAACTCAACAAAAACGAAAGTTCAACAGCTTCTAGAAGATTTGAACGTTGAACTACTTGTAATAGGAAAGAATTGATCATTACAAAGTGTGTCAGCAGAACTATATGCTCTTTTCTATTTCAGCAGTAAAACCAGGTTTTGAACTTCGGCGAAATCTCGCTTGGCTCTTCCCATAAAAGCAATACTTCTTTTATACCGCCATCAGAAAGGTTCGAGAATGGTAACATCATGACGACTTTTATTTTACTTTCCATTCGGTGTCTAAAATCCAGCGCCGTATTTTAGAAATGAAAATGAAAAATGAGACGCATGGATGACAGATTTGAAGTTGGATACATGACTCTGTAGCCTTTTACGGCTTTTATTCTTTCTTTTTGCGAAAAGAAGAGAGTGACTGTTGTTTTGAAAAGAGAAAACACAAGGAAAACAAGAAATAATGGCTTTTGGGACTACAACGGTATTAAAACGATGTGCATTTAGATTTCGGTTTGCTTTTAAGAGTAATGTAAGATCGTTCCGCTGGCAACGAGGGAGCATGGTTCCCATCTCCTTGGAGTTATAAGTTGTGGAGATATAGTATCAATGCCTGTCATCGCCTACATTTGTATACATATCTATTAGCCTACCAGTATATTCGATGCAAGCCGTTTCATTTTTCATTTTTCTTACATTAGGCTGACTGGGATTAGACTCGGATTGACATGGTGATGTCTGCATTCGTTTACGTTTCTTGTTCATTCCGATGTATTACTAACTTCTCGATGTGTTTTTTTTATAGAACGCCTCGAGCGTACAAATGAAAATGAAAATGAAAATGAAAAATGAAATTAGAGATTTTGAGCTTATAACGACTTCAGGTAAAATTACTACATTACTCGTTTGAACACGAGAAAATCAACATCGTAATACATCACTTCTTGCCTGATCAACCTACCCTGGTTTAGAGATAACCTCAGATAGCCTTCCTAAAAAGGATTCTGTTTCATGCTTCGTTGATATGGTCGTAGATCTCGAATTATCTGCAAACGAGCCATCCGTACAGATCAGCTTGGAAAATTTTTCTCATCAATCAAGTAATGACCCACGCCTGGACAAGCTAGTGAACAGTTCATAAGACTTCTGATCAATCATTTATTATCACATAAGTAGCTTGCATATAAAAAAAACAAAAAAAAATAACACAGAGTCAACGGCGGCGTGAAGACGTACGGACATACAAATAAAAAATTGCATTGCAGAAAAAAATAAGGAGAGATGCGAGATGATGAGCGTAGGCGGCGAGAGTGAGGGAGAGACAGTGTGCGCCTCTGTGGTCGAGGCAAAGAGACGCAGACATACAGACAATAAGCAAACGCAACGCAACCCGTTTCTTCGCGTTCATTCGATTACTATAACCGAACTTCGTAACGGTTCAACCTCATCTGGAGCCTTTTTCTGCTTTTCTGAAAAATAAAAAAAGCATGTAAATCATTGTATTTTACAAAAAAAAACTTTACGATGAAAACTGTAGATCTTCAAACATTGAAATTTCAAAAAACCTTCCGGTCGAAGTAAAATTTTTTTATAAGGTTTCCCACAAATTTCTATGCAAAAATTTGATCGTCTCCCAAAAGAAATGGAAATTTATAGCATGCCCATAACCGTATTGTAATTTGACGTGATTTCCGCGATTTCACAACTCCGTCAATTTTCTGATCAGTGCATGCCAAATGCTCAAAAAAGACTATAAACTGCCATCTCTCACCTACTTCACCGTAGCTGCAAATAAAAATTTTCATTCTATGACCCCTCGAACGTTCGCTATAAATCAGATACTTGGAAGCAATTCGAACACCGTCTAAAGACATCTCGATCAAAGGCCGTTCATCACAATGAAAGCGAATAGGTTTGCCCTTTAGCATTACTTTCTCCTTGGCCTATTCTCGCGCGTACTAAATCCTTTTCTAATCCGCGGAAAGCGGTAATCCCACGAGCGTAGTGGAACTGAAGGGTGCGTAAAAGGATCGAGACAATGGGGTTAACGGAATATGACATAGAACAAAGAGCTGGTGGTCCGACTGTCGTGAACATTTAGAATTTTGATTGGAGAGATGCGAAAACTGTATCATTACCCAAAAGATCAAAAAATCCCAAATAAAAGAATTAAAGTTGCAGAAATCTTTCCGGCTCAATGTAGAGTAAAGAGCGATATATGACTAAGAAACACATAGGCTTACCATTAATTTTCCGTCGTAATTCTTCCAATTTACTTAGATACTGTGAATCTCGGGACTGCTTGTACTCCTCGATAGTCCATTCCAAATTTGAACTCCAACACAGAGAGATGTAGCCACAAAAACTGATACCCGACTAAAAGGATCCATTTAATAGCATTTGAGGAATTTCTCGTAACTTCAATGATTTGGATGCCAACTCCTACGCAGATGTGAGGCTCAGCATCCGTCAAAAAAAATCTGAGACCATGTATCATACATAATCATGCATACACTTCACGCGCCATTTGCATAGCGTAATGAGGTGCGATCCGGTTCAAGTACGCGAGCGTAACAGGTGCTTCGCAACACCTAGCACCAGAATTTTCATCTAACATTTTCTTCACTATGCAGGGAAGTTTATACGAATCCGAACACCCACTAATTTATCACGTATTCCAAATTGCTGTTGACGCTGCACAGACAGCTTGCCCGTGAAAAGTGCAACTCGTCCAATTTTATTGATGACCTCGCTGCCACTGATCGTAAATCTTGCGGTCACAAAGAATCACAAAGACAGTGCCGACTTGATAGAATGGCCGGAAAGAGTGACGATAGAGCGTTCAATGTTCAATTATAGGGAACGGTGTAGAACTAACATATAGGCCATTCTTGAAACTGTGACGCCGGATTTGACTGCGGTCTTTGCGCACGCAGAAGCATAAAACACCCATACAAAGCATCACCTCTACGCTCAGCTCAGTTACTTCCAGTGTGTGGATACTATCATGTGTAAGCAAAAAACCATTCGTGTAGACAGAAATCGAGAATGCGGTTGCTGGAAGTGCGTGCGTATCGCGCGCGGTCGCGAGATCGCCACGATTTTTCGAATGCTCTACAGAACAAAAGCTGCTGTCACTTTACGAAAATTGCTGAGCTGAAGCGCTATAGAATGACAACGATGCCTCCATGTAGAACCCTCCCCCCCCCTTCCTTAACGCTCTACTTCCCAAACCGCTCAACAAGAGCTAGGTTACAATACGCATGGTTTTCAGCGCATTAAAATCTTCCTGCATTAGTGTTGCCTCCCCCTCCCCCCCCCCCCCCCCGTCCCCGTACCACAACCGTGACTGAAGCAGCGCCACACTACAACCTGTTGTTATGCTGTTGCCTCTATCCTAACGCTGTTGCATTGCAGTTGCCCCACACCACAACCTTGTTGTATCATTGTTACCCCGACCACATCGCTGCTGCATTGCAGTTCCCTCGCACCAAAACGCTGTTGCATTGCTGTCGTGCCGCACCACTCATTGTTACTCTCTCACAACATCGTAATCCTTCGGCAACATCGCCCTACAAACTGCCTGTAACCTATTCTGGTTGCACCGCAGCAAAATCTTGTTGCCCACCACAATTCTTGTTGCTCTGCCTGTGATGTTGCTTGTACAGTATAAATGTAACTTTCCAGTTACTATTCCATAGTTTTCAATTCCAGAAAATCTTAACCATGATCAAATCTGCGTTTTCACCCTTATATTCTATGCGTGTACCTCTTTTAAAACACACATTTGCTTTGTTCTCTTATTCAAATATATAAAGGCCAGTGGCGTACCCAGGATTTCGGCTCGGGGGGGGCGCGACAAAAATTTTTTTCTAAAGAAGGTGCGTGGCGTCAGCCACGCACTCCGAAAAATTTTTTTGGGTGCTTCTCAAAATTTTTCCGGGTCCCCGACCCCTAAAATCTGGAAAAAGGGGGCATGGCGTCAGCCACGCCCCCGAAAAAAAAATTTTTTATAAGGCTAAAATGAATTTTTAAAAAATTTTAAAAATCATTTTAATTATTTACAAGTAAAAACAAGTCACTTGCACATTTTTATAACCCATGTAAGTAACTTCCAAAAATTTCGCGACCCGTTCTCGGGGGGGGGGGGGGGGGCGCGCGCCCCCCCCCCGCCCCCCCCTCGGTACGCCACTGATAAAGGCGTATATAACTTACCTTGACATGAGCATACATAGCCATGAAGAAGCTGAAGAAAAACAGGATAGCGGCAATGAGGGTTACAGTGCTGAGCAGATTTTCAATATCTTCACGATGTAATAAATCAGTAGGCGCTGGCAATTCTGGAGGAGTGATTTCTGACGGAGTTAGCGGTGTAGAGGACGTTCTGCAAAAATAGTTTATCTAACTGCAGATTCTGCAAACTTATTCTGCAAGATTAGATCATATTAGGTTGGCTAGAAAGTTTTTGCGTAATTCAAACAAAATTCAATAACTTTTCAATGACTAAACCTAAATTCACAATCTTGTTCTCTAAAAATGTTACAAGATCTGCGCTCCATGATGGATGTTTATGCGCAAGATTTCATGAGCTAGCCCCCGAAAACGAAGCTCTCAAATATGGGACTTCAAAATTTGCAATTTTGAGTTTGGTGCCAGAAAATCGCAGAGTGCCGCTAGCTAGCCGAAAAAAATCTGTAAAAATTACTTACACTGCAGAAGTCCAAAAGTTACTTTGGAAGGCTTTGATCTTGCATGGGTGAAGCAAAAACAGAAAATTCGTGAAGTAGTCATTTTGCCGAAAAAATCCACTCATTACCGCAGTATTTCGGCAAAAACAATTTTTTACACTCCAAAAAACGTCGCAAGGTTCTAAATAGCCAATATGTCTTATTTCTGGTAGCAAACTGTGTTTTTGAGGAAAAATTACATCGATAAGGGGATTTATCCTGTAAAATGACAAATTCCACAAATTTTTTGTTTTCGCGTTTCCATGCGAGATTAAAGCCTGCTAAAATAACGTATGGACTTCTGCGGTGTAAGTAATTTTTACAAATTTTTTTTTCGGCTAGCTAGCGGCACTCTGCGATTTTCTGGCACCAAACTCAAAATTGCAAATTTTGAAATCCCATATTTGAGAGCTTCGTTCTCGAGGGCTAGCTCATGAAATCTTGCGCTTAAACATCCATCACAGAGCGCAGGCCTTCTAATATTTTTAGGGAACAAAATTGTGAATTTAGGTTTAGTCATTGAAAAGTTATCGAATTTTGTTTGAATTACGCAAGAACTTTCTAGCCAACCTAATATTTAAAATGGAACTTACTTATTGGAATGAGTGGAATAAGATTTTTCAAGCTGAAAGCACACTATCGTAGCGAGAGCCGAAAGAATCATCATAATTAAAGCACAGACGAATAGCGTATAATATCGTACATCACGATCAGAGCAGTCAGGAAGTTTAATTTCGCGATACTGAAAGAAAAACTTCGAGCATTCCAGATTGTTCTGATTTTTTCGAGAAAAAGTGGCAGTATCGGATTTCTCAGACGTTGTTTACTCAACCTTGCAGAGGGTAAATGTTAGATACCAGTCTTTGTTTACAGAATCAAAGGTGCAAATCTCAAAAGAGATCTACAAGTAGGAAGTAATGTTAGTCTTACCTTGAGCACACGCCTTCTTCTATATTTGTAGAGACATAATTCACATACTGCCGGTCGATGCAACTTTCGTGACGAAATATCTAACCAGTGCTGAAGTACGAAGTGAAAGTTACTTATTATTCAGAAAGATGGGCCTCTAAACTTTATGAGTTCAAGGTTTTAAAAGTTACTTCGGAACGATGTGGATTTTCTAAAAAATTACATTACAAACTGCTCACCATTAAACAAGATACATGTACATATTGTAAAGATCCAGAGCATCGACAAGGCGATATGAGCGGGTCGGACGCATCTGATGGCCAACAGCAATGGCAAATTCGACATAATGGTTCGTTGCCGGAAAGATCTGATGGAGCAAGAGAGTACAGCGATGGCAACGATGGAGAACCGTGTTCCTAAAAAATTCAGCTGTAGTTTTGAAAAATGAAGAGTTCAAGAAAAATAATCTGTAGAATAAAATCATCTGCTTTTAATGATTTCAGCTTGGCAACTCTCACCGTTTTTCGCATGGTTTTTGTGCTTCTTCGTAATCGTAATCTATCTGTCATTAACCTATAGTAAACAAATCGTTTGTAAGAATGAATACGAGAAAGAATTAGCGGTATTTGGGCAAAGTAACAAAAACTAGACTCTGCACAAACGCGAAAAAGTAAGAAGTCGCCTCATGCGGCGTTGCAAGTTTGAAAAGATCAGCCATCTGCCATTTTCGATCAGTAAGTCGTGCAAAACCCACTCTACGCAGTAACACCTGTCACATGAAATCTCGAAAAACTTTGAAATTCGTAAGCCCATTGGCTAGATTTCACTTTAGCAATCAAGGAAAACGTCAAACGAAAGTGTCCTACCAAAGACAGCTCATACAGATGAGAAATGAATTTTTCTGTTCACAATCTAATATTACCAACAAACCGTTCGCATATGACCGGTGTCTCTCACGGCAACGACGGGTACAGTATGTGAGTCAGATGCCTGCACAGCACACACCTGGTCAGTATTGTACTAGGTGTGTTTGTCTGAGCGCGCGAAACGCCTCAAGGACGTGCAGAGGCCAAATGGCGATTTGAAACGATTTTTCAAAATCTTAAGCGGTGACCACATGCGCCCCGCACGTACAAAGAGCTCAACTCGTCAGCAGTTTGCAGTAACGACAGGTGCAAAATTTTGGTGGACAATTCGTACAAATGGGGAAAGATAAATGGAGACAGCCTGCCTAGAGTTTTCGGAAAAATTATGGAATTGTGGAATTGATATTACCTGATGCGCTTTGGGGCACGGCAAATCCGTTGTGGAGCAATGCTGACACAGAATTCCTAACTGAGATGGGGCTTTTGCCATATATGAATCCATATCTATTGAGAAGTCTGAAAAGTAAAGTCATTTTTTATCTGCTCCAATAGGAAAAATCCTCTGAAAACACATTTAGCAGCAGATGCAGTTCTACCAAACCGAATTGCTATGCTTCGTTAAATTTAAAATTCGAGAGAACAAAGAGTAATCAAAGCTAGAAACCATGATGATATGCTCCGTTGCAGACCTGCCACGACAGCCACAAGCAAAAATTAGCAGCATAGGACAGCAAACTTTCAAACGTAAAGTCTATTCGCACTTCACACCCGTCTTGCGCGCGCATTTTTTGCCATAAAGCCCGGGCAAAGTGCATCGTACAACTCCGTAATCAAAGCTGAATTAGCGATATACATCAGAACTTCCAAAGCGCAGATATTTGTGAGAAAGAAAAAGTCTGCAATTGTTGCAGCGGCTACAATGCCCTTGGGGCCAGATGACAACTCCCAGGAATCTAACGAAAAAGCACGTGAGCGAGAATAGGTGTGTCATTTCAATCTCAAGATGTTTCTGCAATAAATAAACCGAAAATAATCACCATTCTTCAGGTGCGAACATTACTGTAAGACCAAATAAAAATGAAAAATTTCCAGCTTTTTACATATATGGCTGCAAAAGAACAGTTTGTCGTTGCATTTAGTGGTGTTGCAGCCACGCATTCACTCTGATGCCACGATATGTTTGTTGTTGCATCCGCAAGTACCGTATGGTGCAACAGCAAGTAAGCGCCCGATCTGCAACGATTTGGTGTTGCAACGGCACGATTGGTGTTGCTCAACCGCAAATTGTTGTGATTTGACACTATTTTGGTGTTGCAAAACGCCAAATTTCAGAGTTGGGACTTTTGACAGAAAGTCAAGAAGAAATCTTTATCCATTTGTTTTGCCTCACATGAAAAAAAATGAGCAGGTGCTTTCCGCTACTCTGGAAAATAATCAGTCGCAATTCCACTGCCGATGTATGAAAAGCATATATGAAACTGTGTGAGAAAGTACTTGGTTAGCGTGAAAATATGGTTATCCGTCCCCTGTTCGCATTATGTTCAAAGCCGGCACCTTAGGAAAATCCCTCGGAATCCCATTAATAACGCTTCGCTGAGCTGCTACTTTCACACCTCGCACCTACATAATCGATCATCGTGGGCGAATAGTAAAAACAAAGCTGGAAGTATCGACGTGGAAAAAGCGACCGCACTGCCGTGCCGCAGCTGAAATCGACAGATGACGACAAATGGATAAGGACGAGATGTACTGCTTCGAATGTGAGGAATCGCTGTACACATATGAAATTTACACTTGTACTCTATGTTATGATAACAAATGCCTAGCATTGGCTATCCCAAGTGGAAGCTATAATGAGCTATCTTCCGATGAGCAGAATAAAAGCGAATGATTGTAGTATTATAGTTCATCAATTGGGCAGGAAGAGGGGGGAAGGGTAGGACACACTACCATAAATTATTATTGATGTAACGGTGAAAAGCATAACAGGGACTTTACACACAAGTTTACACATTGACAAAGTGGAATAATTCTTGGCTTCTTGCCTTTATTGGGTTTCACTTCTTACTAAGAAAACATGCTTCAAATCAAGGACGACAGTAGCATAAAGGCAATGACCTTTTTCTAGGAGCGCAATAGAAATGTAATATACTAAAAAATGATGAAGGCCTATTACTGCTGCGTACTTTTGCAGAAAGAGAACAAGCTGAGGAAATATTTCTGTGACTGTTAATTTTCACACCCAGTAGCATTGGTTGGTTAGTAGTAGCCATTGGTTTGCTATAGGACATGCAAACACAGACTGCCTGAACTGTGGAAAAAAATGAACATGGAATTTCCTACCGAAATCAAATACAATTTTTGAGTAAAGAAAGAAGGTCTCGACACTATAGGCGATAACTACGCATGTGACGATATTAATGATCTGGTACTTTTCGCACGTTGTCTATCACGTGTACGAACTCAACCCATACTATACCTATGTGTGTCTGAGTGGTTTTCACTTTCTCACTACTGTTGTATTGCTCTATACCTACTTGTTATGGAAAATTACCGTCAAGGAGAAGTAAGTATCCAGCTCGACGATAATAGCGGCAAAGCACAGAAAATGACTGTCGTGTGGTGAATGTGTATGTTGTGTAGATGTTCTCATTCGCAAACATCAATGTAGAAAAAACCGCAAGCGGCTACGCAAACATGTCCTTAACGTCAACTTCTAGGGCACATCGTGCTCCGTCATATGCACAGATTTAAAGTGGAAAGAAAACATTTTCAACACACGCATACTTAAATGTTGGTAGAGAATATAGCATTGAATAATTCAAGAGGCACGATTTTCCAATCAAAACAGGAGATATTGTTGCGTACTGTTTACGTCAAATGACTGTTAGCTAGATGTGGCTCCGTATGTCAATGGGACAAACAGCAGACGATAAAAACATCAAAATATTTTTTGGAATATGCGCCCGTTTCAAAATGAGGAGCGACTCCAGTAGTGTCGCATACACCCAATCTTCGAATATTTCCAACATCCTGTCCAAAAAATTATAAAACGAAAATATCCTAGTATTATCGGAAAGTACAGATCAAAGATTTTTTGATGGACGTTTAATATTTGTTGGAACAACTTAGATTGTTAAAAACATTTCTTTTCAGACTATGGTTAACAAAAGCATGTTCATGAGCTCCAAAGATGAAGAAAAGCTTGCATTTTCAAAAATCTTCGAGTAATTACGCATATAAAAAACCTAATATTTCCATAATTAGGCTATTCAATACTACGATGAGTGCTTGCCTGACAATATATGCCATATCAATGACAAGTTGTAAGGGAAAAAGCACAGTTTACAGAACAAGACTATCTGAACAAGGAGGTAATAGTACGATATAAAAAGAGATAAGAGGATTGCACCTAAAGACATGAAGGTGTAAAAAGTCATAGTTAGTTCGTGAAGCTATCTTTCATGACTAAAAGACCATCTTCAGTGAAATGCAGGCGAGCCAATCCCATTGAGGAGAAAGTTTTCCAATTTTCCAGCGTGCGGTAAGGCAGATTTATTGTTCAGTTTCATTTACGTTTTTCATTCTAGCACTTGTCATTGAACTGCACGATGCTGCTGCTGCTTGGGGGTGAGGGCAAAAATGTTCCTATAGAAAGAAACTAATCCCGCATCAGTTCGGGAGATCAGTTCTTGGGTGGTTTTCATGTGGCAATCAAATTAGAAGCGAAATTGATGCGAAAAGAAGTGGCAGAAAAATTACAGATGTTACCGATAAATTTTACATCAAAAAAGCCGTTCTCATTGCTTTATTTGTCAGATCAAAACCTGCGAGCCAGGATGAAAAACAGCAAAATCAGATTATCGTTGATGCAATGAACACGATTTTTTGTAAATAGCTATTGCACGATACAATAGCAAGCGCTTTTTGCGACAATCGCTTTTTCACAAAAGGAGCTCTCGACGCTCAGACCTAAGACAATCAAACATAAAAGCAAATATACAAGATGAAAGGCCAAATTTACGTAGTGAATCATAACAAAGAAATGTAATAAAAGGTGAAAGCATGAATTTAGCATAGCTTTAGGCTCCCGAACGCATTAACCACAAAAGTCCAGGAAATGCTACTACTTGACATTCCGCGCGTCAACGAAAGTTCAAGCCGTCACATGTACTTTCGCCGATCGGCACCGAACGCCTACATTCTTTGATCGATGTGTACCTTTTTTCTTCAAAGAACGACTGACTGGAGTTTTGGGGAACGATTGGCCGGATATTGTTGAGACTCATGCTGTGCACCTAACAACCAACTAAATATGCTCATTGCATGCCTGTCTCATGCAATTTTCTAGAACGTTCTGTGCAGCAGAGCAATTCGATGACAGCAGCCCAACAATTCCGGAAGTTGTTAGTAACATTGTTTGCTGCAGTGAGCTTGTCTCGTTCCTGCTTGGAGAAATTCTAGGAAGTGAGAAGGCCTGGTGGGACCTCAGACTGCAAAAGAACGATTTCGCATGGTATTTTTCTAGATTGTCACGAAAACGGTAGTCAAAAACATATTTCCACTTTCAAAATGCGGCAGGGAGAAGGGCAGGAGGGGAGAAGAAGGGTAACAAAGAATGCTAGCAACAAAGGATATTCCAAACAGCTTTTGTCAAGCATTCAAATATAACCAAGAAGCAAAAATAATTCTACTTTACGATGGCAAATACGCAGCAAATGCACGGAAATCAATGAATTATGGTAGCATACGGTAATGGGCACTAAAATATTGCCTTGCCATTTGCACATGAGCAATTCTCCTCCTTAAGGAGCCAGCGTGCAGCTTCCAACAAAAGCATTGCTGCTCAGAAAGCCATCTTTTTCGTTGGATTAATGAACCGTGAAGTCATTTCACTGCATAAGCTGCTGTGAGTGACGCCAATGGATAGAAGAAGAAAATTTTCTATCGGAGGGAAAGGAAAATGCAAAGAAAACAGTCAACATACCATCATTATTTTGCAGTGATACCACTGATCCTTGAGCGACACGCGAACGGCTCTTTTTCATGGGACGTCGAGAAGGTGAAGCTACTGAAAATTACCGCATTTTTTACCCTAATCAGTATGGAACTGGCAAAAAAAAATTATCTGACATATTAATCAATAATTAAACTGTGTTGAAAAATAGCCAGATACAATTGTACGAGTATCAGTCACTAATAAGAAGATTGTCCCCATAAAAACAGGCAAAACACTGATGTTCACCGCGGTCACGTTTCATTCCTTGCTTAACATTTTCTTTCTATCGAGCAGCATTAAAAATCCTCAAAAAAATGATGATGATGTCGATTTTCATCACAACTACAAAATTGTGAAAATTCACATGCAGTATAATATGTATAATATGTCATGCCATGAGAAGAGCACGTGAAAAATTGCCGGCATAATCGCTCCAACATGAACTTATGGAACCTATCAAGCACTTCATCGCATTACCGATTCCCATGGATGAATATTTGTGCAATTTTTGAGTGGCATCAAATTGCACTTATTTCTTACACAGAAACCCAGCAATATTTAACTCCCAGTCCACCACAGTCCCGGGTAACTGCTGTTTCCTATTCCCAACGGAGCTATGACTACAGACCCTGAGGCAGAATACGTGGGACTCATATGCACGCTATAAAATACGAAAGGATACTAGAGTAATTGAGTTTGTTGTCAAGTCAGTGCTTCCTTCTACGTCAATAAGTTTACGCAAAGTCACACGATCTGCTGTATTAAGAAAGCATCAGAGGTTAGACTAACATGAGAAGCTGAATCTATCAATAGCCATTATCAGGAGGTTGGAAATAGAACCTAATCAAACTTGCGTCTCTCATAATTGCGACATATCAAACTAAATAAAGTATGTTCCCTCAAAACTTATTTATTCCTCTCTAGATGCAAGGTAACTATTTTTCCTAATGAAAATAAAGGTACAAAATATCAACAACGAAAAAAGAATGACGATAACTTACCATTGGCACTATTTGTTGTTTCACAGAAACTATTCAATGATTGCGTCTTTGACACATGGTGTGGTGACACTGGCACTGTGGTGACAAACGAACCCGCTGAGAAAAGACGTATGCGTTCACCCATCTGAAAATTACTGAATAATATGGTCAGTTGACAAACTGGAGTAGGAGGAGAGAATAAATAGGGTAGATGGGGAGTGAGAGAAGGCTCAATAGATATGAAAACAGTCAGCAAACTGCCTTATTTGACAATCCTTGTAAAATTCTAATAGAAGAAGAGAGGAGGGATAGAAATGTGGCAGAAGGTATAAGTTTCAAAACCGCTGAGCATATTTTGAGCCTGGAAATTCTGAGAAGAAGGGTGGCCGCCTTATTCGAACCGACTACCTTCACGAAAAGAGGCTCGTCCTAAGCAGACAAATGAATTTGTGGAATATCAAAGTGGCCGAATGTTGGGCAAGAGTGCGCGTGTACCTAGGCTTTTGACAGAAAAAAGCCCACACAACGTCTCAAAAATGTGGTGTGCACTAGCTCAAATGGACAGAGTGCTGAAGCTCCGACGTAGCTGAAGCTCGTCTCTCGCTATGCACACGGAACTTTTCGTCATCCAAACGGTAAATAATCTCATCGCCACTCGACAACAAAAACAATGACTCGAAAAAGAGTAAAGCCGCGCAAACGCTATAGTCGATATCTTGGCTCTTGAATGAATTTTCATTTCATACGACGATAGCAGAACTCAAAGAAGATTCACGAAGGCGCGCTACTCTAGGGCATCGAACTTGTAGAATGAATGCTAGAGGCGTGATTGAGTGCGAATAAAATAACCAAAGTACTCGTGCGCTTCCTGGTTAAGGTCTACGAAGGCTTACCCTTCCTCATTAGTGCTAATTTCGTTGATTTTCATGAGAAAACTCGGGACTACACTTACTTTTACATCCGAAAAAGCAGTGTGGATAGAAATAGATTTTGAGCAAGCGACTAGAAGTAGTTAAATCTTAGAATGGTTTCAAAGATCCTTCATCTTAAGATGTAGAGAGATGTACAAAGGAACGAATTTAACATGTAAATGAGCACAATTTCCTCCTTCTTTTGAATCCCAGACACCAAGGCGATACAAAAAATGTTCCTGAGCTGCAATGAAATCGTTATGAAATGGCTTCAAAACTTCTGAGTCAGACAGCATTAACAATTTAGTGAGAAAAATACTCCCCATGATAACTAATAACATTTGAACATATATCCTAGCAACCAACGGCGCGGCAGGAAATCCGAACGCTAGCAAAAAAATTCACATGAAAATCAGGCCAATATGATTTTTCTTCGAATGAAGAGCAGAAAACGAAGTGTTTATGTATGTTGCACTATTGCGAAGACCGATAAACTTTGCGATGAACACAGATTGACTTCATGCACCCCTCCCCCCCCCCCCTCCAAACCTCCTCGGCTACCTGAATTTTCCTGAATAAGTGCTGTTCATGCCTTTTAGATAATCAACGAAAGCATTGTAAGACGAGAAAAGAAGTATTTCGGCCATATACAGAGAAGGAAAGAGATTTTTCATAAGCCGAAAGCCCATAACTCAAAATATGCCTACTTCCATCGCAAAAGTGCAACTGGACCGCTCATCAATCAGACCTTAGGCACCTATCAATATTCATTGCACACCGAAATCCCTTAAAAAATGCTTGAACATGTGATTTTCGCCATTTCATTCGTCCCATGTAACAAAACAAGCATGCAGAATGCCAATTAAGGCCTTGTTTTCGGGCGATTCCGCCACATAATGGAGGAATGCGAACGCTCTCGCTAGCTGACTGCCGCGATTGCACGTTATATATTAGCTAAAAGCCATCAGAATAAAAAATGAAAGGAAAGCTTTTCTGAAAACGGAAGTGGGGGACTTGAACAAAAAGTTCGCAGTCAAAGCGTTTTCTGTAAATCTTTCAAGGGGTTGAATGAATGAAAAGATTGCTCAAAAAGGGAGAGGAAGCACGTATTGAGATTGCTATTAGCGTAGTGAAGAGCACTAAAGGAGGAGCTAACAGCTAGAGCACAAAAGTGCATGTGTCATTGTAAGGAGAAGCAGAGAGACGTCGCCTTGACGCAATCAACCCCCGAACGGCGGTCATTTTCTCAGACCTTCTGGGGGAAATTGTCAGAAAATTATGTGTGTATGGAATTTTGGCCGAAAAAACATGCGGAAACAGCTCCGCGTATCGCTTTCGAGAAAAGACGTCTAACGAATGTGCCGCAAATCCTCGGGGATGCACGGCGCCTATGGTGGAGGCCATATGACTCTGGAGTTAAATGAGAACTGAAGCTAAATAACTAACTATAGATGGGGCCTACTATCTTCTGAAGACCAGTTAGAGCAGGATTACATTACAAGACAGATTACAACCAACAATGAACAATCGAGAATTTGAGGTGGAGAGAAAAGGATTCACTGTTATGTTTTCTGTACGAAAGTAAAAGACCTTGAAGGAATCTGGCCACAGAAACTCTGTCAAATGTGACACTGAAGTCAGCTAAAACAGAAGACGAAAGAGGCAAGGGGCTCTGAACTAAATTCTAAATTGTAGGAATAAAGACTCTTGTTGAGCTACAACATGAAGATCAACCAATTCAAAAAAATTTGCCCTTGTGGCGAAGTACAGACATCCTAAAATCTAATAAAGATGCGAAAAAAGGGGGAAATTACGCAAACAACAGGAAACCCACGCACACGAACTTACTTTCCGAGCAATATAAAAGTCATTAAACTTGTCGATCTTCAACTTCTTAGCAAATAATTCGACAACAATCAAAGAGCACATGAACTCTAGCTCCTTTGAAAGCCAACAATTTGAATGAAAAAAACTGACTTTTGGAAAGAAGAGACACAGGAGAGAGAGGAGAGAGAGCACCAACACTCAAAATCCACTCCAAATTTTATTAAGCATATGTTTACAGAACGTCTAGGAGATTCCACGATATCACATGACTGCTGCTTCTCAGTTGACAGAATGATAAATGAGCGAGTTAAAACAAAGCCTAGAAGCATATGTCATGGATTTTTTACAAGTTATTATTCTAATGGATTCTTGAAGTGTACTTAGTCATAAAGATTATCTGCTTGAGTTAAACAACATCACGTTGATTCATGCAAACTTCTTCCTCATCGTATAGCTTTTGCTGCGCCATTATGCAATCAAATATTACAGCAAATTATATCCTTTTGAGATGAAAACATGAAATTCGTTGTCAATATATCAATCCATAAATGTCATAACTAAACTATAGCCGCCCAATTTGGCTTGTGGCCCCTGGTAGTTGTCCCCTCCCCACACCAACTTGTAGTGATGTTGCACCTTCAACAAAATGCAGCTGCATCTTCGCCAAATAGAGACCCAGCTTGTTGCTGCTCCGCACCACTTCGCTGTTGCATCACCACCGTGAAGTAGTAGCCTACAACAAGGCAACTGCAACTGCAACTGCAACTACAACCTACTGCTGCGTTCTCAAAAAATTGTTGGTGTACCTCAATAAATAACGGAAACTGGCGCAAGATGTCTCGATTAGCTGATCAAAAAAAATTCAAAAAATATAAAAATTGACAGAAGCTCCTGCATTTAGTGGCTCAGCCTGACCAATCGCCCATACTGAATTAGGTTAGGGCGTCAAGTAGCATTGTTCTTCTGGATTTCGCTTAAGATCCTTTACTTCATTTCCGACACAAACAAATTCAGTTCCGATATAAAGAGTCTTAGTTCATAGCCCTGCTTTGGGACAAAATCGAAATATCCCAGAACTAGTCGTTCTTAAAGGTTAGATCATCACAATAAAGCTTTATCGCACAATGACTTTCACAAATCTACTACCTGTCTTCACCGCATATCGCTAACAGCCGACACTTATGCGATCGTCCCCGAAAAGCATCGGAAACCAAGTGAGAGCAATGTGCTTCTTTCTAAAACATCGGTCACAAGACAGCCCTAATGAGGCGATTATATTACGTATACGTACATATAATAATACTCATACGAGCATCAATACTAATGCCACTGGTAATATCAACCTAATCTACCAAAAGAATCAAACTACCCTTCTTGTGCTCTTGAAGCGAAAAAAAGCGTGGCGAGAAGACTAGTCAGTTTCCAGCAATTTTGAGAATTAGAAAAATCAATAAATAGAAGTGAAAATAAATGAATAAATTAGATTCATTAGAAATCTTGATAAAAGTCAAAGGATCAAAAATTTCTTCATACAGAAAAGCTTTTGATCTCGCAAGATAAAACTCAAATTTCGGCAGATTATGAATCGTCTACTTCCTCAATTTCTATCAGCGACATAGCTTCACTGTGTAATCACTTGAACTGGGGCAGCAGAATGTTCTCTCTACATACTTCCTTCTTCTTCGAAAGTTCACAAGAAGTAAAATTGAATACACGAATTTTGGGTACTTGCATGCTTTCGTTATTTGCTGCTTTCGTTCGAGAATTGGACTTTGGCAATGTAATAACATCAATACTCGCCTCAGAGAGAGAATCTTTGGGACAGTTTTATAGTACAGCAGTATTTTTACTTTTTTATACGTAGAGGACAGCTAAATTATAGACTCGAATGTTGAGTAGCATCAGCAATAATTTAAAAAAAGGACCTACGGAGAAAAGCCTAGCAATGGTGACCCCCACATTCACATAACGACAATACGGAAACCTTTGCAGCGATCATTACTAATCGAATCTCATGCAATGTCAATATGTCACCTAATTGGTTTCGACACTCTACTAACGAGGTTGAGCATTCGCTTAACACTCCAAATGGCGGCGTTCTGCCGCTGCTCACAACAGACTGTTGTTGATAACTATTCTGCAAAATTTCAAGAACTGCAAATATATGGAAAAAAATTTTTTCACCAAGAGGCAGTACCAAGTACGGCGACATTTATTTTTGGAGCTGCGGTTGACAAAGTTCACTCAGCCGCACTAAAATGTTGTGTCATATCGGTGCGGGGCAACGACATTGTTGAGGTTACAACAACAAAATGCCGTCGCAGCCGCAATATTGAACCATGAGTTTGTAAACAATGCTAATTCTCAAAAGGGATTCACTTAGTCACATTGTATCTAAGGGGAAGAATTGATATTTTGTGATGACCTACACACTAGGCGATGCATAGCAGAAAGATGCGAATATGAAAAATTACCCAAATTATTCCCAACACAATCGATAAGAAAAAGAATGAGTGCAGCAACGATACCTACCGCTTCGTTACTTGCCACTTCGTTGTGCTAGCAAGCATATGCTATTCATTAATTCATGGAAGAGGACTAGCTGGAACGCAATGCTAGAGAGGGTTGGATGGAAATACTACCCTGTTTATAGCTATGGGGCCGTTCGATGTCAGTCAGGCGAAACGAGATGAAGCATATGTGCATGACACCCAACTATCACTATTCGCTAATTATCTGATGCACTTGCTTGATGTGTAGCAAAAAGACAAGGACAAATACAACACTGAGAGTTCACTGGCACTAGGAACAACAAAGGCATATCAAATTATGAGAAAGAATCAGGAGAATCTCTGATTGTAATTTGGTCGCTGCATTCTCTTGACATTAACGCGATGGTAGCCGCAAATCAGATGCACATTTCATGCACGACTACGTTCGCCTTTGCAGCGGGTGATTAACGATTCAGTTCTGAGAATGGAGCTGTCAGAGGGCGTTATTTCAAAGATTGAGCCGAGAACGCTGTTTCGCTTAGAAACGCACGAAGCTCTGCTTGCAAATGAAGATACAGAACAATAAGAGAATGAGTTGTTGACGAAGAATCATTTTTGTTTTGAGAGAACTTACCAGCTGATGACAAGATAAAAGGGGGTCCATGGATGAGAACAAAGAAGGAACAGACTTATGTAAAGGAAATAACATTGCATCATCTGTTTACATCAAATGGAAGACATCGTAAGATAATTGATGGCTGAAAATCGAGAAAAAAAAAGCATAACCCACTTCATAGAAGAGCGAACGTTTCCTTCGGGGTGGTGCCAGATTTTTGATCTGAAAAGCGTTCCTTTGAGGACATGAACATCTAGAACAAATAACTAATTTCCGTTAATAACCCTCGGTGTTCGGTGAATATTAGTAGTTATGGAAAAACTATGTCAGAGAGAGCAGAAGAGCAAAACAATAAAAACAGCGCAAAACTCAAAGGTGAAATTTTCCCAGCGCGGACGCGAGCAGGTGTTCGCAATTTTTTATGTCCGTCGAGCGTGCGCATTACTTACTCAGTTTTTATCCAGACTTATACCGGCAGCATAACAATTTACATACCCTTGCTGACTTTTCAAACTTCTGCAAAATATTCGTTTCCAAAATTCAAGCTTCAATGTACGACTCATACGGATTTCTTGGATAGCAATTGGGAAAGAGTACATCATAATGAAGACTTTCCTTCATTATGATTACTGTGATCTCAAGTGGACTACGGAGACCATGGTTTTTGGATAATGCCAGTTATAGCTACGCGAGTTATTAACACCCGCGAAGAGGAAAAGGAATAAAAAGTCAGAACGCTAGTAGCCAGCACGCACAATTCCCAAGAGAGGATTGGGAGAGTTCGTGAAATGCTCGACTCATTGAACATACTCCTGTTTTAGCTGATAAAATAAGAATGTGAATTCCGAACTCGAAGGACACTATAAATCATCCCTCCCCCCCCCCTCCCCTCCCGCCCTCTGAAACTCTAGAACTCTAGTTGCCACTAAAAATTCTTACGATGCTTTGCACACCGCAAAGAAGATTTTACCTTTTTGCAGGGTTAATTTCAAATGCATAGCTATTACTGAAAATATGAACACAACAACTGCATATGTATTTTTTCTGCGCTGAGCAAACGAAAATTAGAAAATGTAAGCACTCCAAATTATATTTTATGCTAAGCAAACATACCTGCTGGTCGCTGTTTGACTGGTGGGGACGCGGGGCACCTGAAAGTCAATGAGCTTGAGAAGATGAGCATAAGGTAAACGATGGTAAAAAGAATAACTGCGACTCTGAATTTAGAAAATGATTATAGACAATTATTCATTATATTACCGTTGTTTTGCCATTTGAAAAAGCTAAGCTACAATATTGTTTCAGACATAATACTTAATGTTTTCTACTACTTGAACGCAAGAAATTGCAGGTTGAAATCAAGGGAGCGATGGGTGTTCGAAGAAGCGGCGTTAAGAAGACAAATGAGGAAATCGCGGGACCGCATTAGGTCCTTGCTTAGTGATTGAGTGTCGAAATACCGGTGAATACTCCTTTGCCGATAAATGAAGACCAAAGTGGAGAAAAAAATTAAAGTTTAAGAGATTGGTGTTGCCCCCCAATCTCGCTGTTGCAGCAACAAGGAGTTCGGGTAGAGGATAAAACTTCGAAAATTGCTGTTGCCCCTTACGGATGAAAGCAACATTGCTGCTGCATCAACAACAAATCTGGAGTGGCTGCAGCACTAAGCTGCTGCAATAGACGTGCTGCTACCAGAACATCGCACACAACTGTAGTGTAAGCCGATGCCAAGTGAACGCAATGGATGCTTGTCGATGAAGTGTGTGTGTGTCTCGAGGCGAAAAGAAAAACAATTGACATCGGCGTCACTGGTAGAAGCCGTCATATTGAGCTGAACGCTTTTGTTTTCGAGGTCCATCTCACCCTGCGGCACTCGCCACCCATCCGTCGCTGTGGTGGCAGCAGCTTGCTAGTCAGCCAGCTCTACCAGGCGCACTCGGCTGGCTCTGCGTTCGAAAAACACCTCAAGTTTACTCGGACCGAGTGCTGGGCAAGGCATCACACCGGACACAACCATCACGCGCAATCATCAACGTTTAGTCTATGCTCATGTAAATAAACCGCGGCTCGATTGTTTTGAGCTTAGGTAAGCAATGCGGCCGTTAAAGGTGCATGTAGATGAAGGTTACCCATATTCAAATGGTCCCATCGAGCTTCAAAAGAAAAAAAAATACCAAACCAAATCCTTCCTAACTTGTTGAACAGAACAGAGAACCACGAGAGAACGTCATCGTGCGTGCGTCAAAATTGTTCAAGTTTTTTACATTGGAAATTCGAAGCGTGCACAGACGGAACACGCTGACTTTGACTGGCAAGGGCACCTCAGCAAGTGACAGTCGAGCATTTGTCATTGCAGCAACTTGCATCGACTTTTCACTAGTGGTGTTCACGAGGAATAAAATGGGAAGAAACTGAGCTGTAATTCCATATGCGAGGTAAGAAACACTTCAAATATTTTGCCAATGACTGAAAATCTTCACGAGGGGCGAGTAAATGCCGTTGATTACAGAACATCAAAATATATGACACACATCACACGCGCGGGAACTCGGCGTTACTTTTTCCCAAGAGAATTCGTATTCGTAAGAGACAACAGACGATGAGAGTGATGAGATTGTTTGTCACACTGCAAAAGTGTAGGTGTGGCTTAAAGGTATGGCATCACCATGTTTGACAAAGATGTACTGAAGTGCAAGATACGAAAGTTTTATGCTGTCATTCATCAAGATCATGGGATGGGATTCTGTGTCCCATCCAAAGTACTAAGTGATAAGCCATAAGTACAAGGAACTTTTCTTCAAGCTTGACGAGTTTGTAAAAGACTTCTTCTGATTTAACAATGCTTCGTTCAAGAAAGTCCTGTAAAGAAATAGGAAAGCCGTAAGAACTCCACAGAGACGAAAAAATCTCTATAACTCGCATTCAAAATGAATACAGTTTCCGAACCAACGTTTTGGACAGGAGCAGCTATTTTAGTGCCAATAAACACCTCCATCTTGAGTTTCGATCAGATATACTGATTCTGTTAGCTGGACATCCTTAACACCCACATAGATGTCATATTATCATCTTCGTAAAAAGTAGTTTCGAGCAGTGTTACTGATGATTAAAAAACTGTCGTATCTAGTTCTCTCACTCAACGCCAGAAAAGCCAAGCTTACCTGTTTTTTGCAAATCCACGATATTGTGAAATGTGGCAGATTTTTTTGGAGTATTGTACTCTGCGATCGACTTCGTTGTAGATTTGCGATGGTCTTGTATCCAATGTGTAAGTTCTTCTTCGATAGTTCCTAATTTTTCGCCCTGAATGAGTATGATTAGATACACTTCAAAATGTAGTTAAAAAATGTATTTCGCAAGCAGTTAAGCATGAGAACACATTCCTTCGGGCATATTTTATTCTTCCACAAATTGCAAAAACCGTTCATCGTCATTTTAATTTTTACTTGATGTCATAAGTGTTGTATTCTGGACTATGTTCATAATTTTCTCTGGAAATTTCTATGCTGTGCGTATCTCTGACAAAACTGCAACCAATGAGAATGCAAATTAGAAGTTGCTCTTTTGCTTGTACCCATGGAGCTACATCATTACATACTCTGTTCTTATCTACCACGAAGAGAACAGATGCAAAAACATCTTCCCTCTTCCTTCTTCCTGCTTGATGCGAATGTAACGAGAACGGGGGCATCATGCGGAAGCCTTTTTCTAGCGAAATTTTCCCCAGATGATTTCAAGTAGTCTCTAGGCAAACAGATGCCAGCAAAATAAATGTGAACAATTATTTAGGATGAGATAAAAGATGAACGGATGACACAGTAAGCTCTATTCCCCGTTCCTTGCAGCGAAAGGCATGATTTACGAACGAGCTAATATTTTATGGTATGTAACTTATAACACAGCAGAAGCGCGGTAATTAAGTATGTAGTGAATGCTATCGAGCACTGCTCCATATCATTCTTTTGTCTAGGGAATGTGACGGGCCACGAATGGCTGCCATTCTAAAGGGCCATTCGTCTCTTATTCCTCGGAGCCATCTCAGTCAAACACGAAAAAACGATGCATCCATTGCACGCAAGTGCGCAAGGATCCTGAAGAATCTCCGCTATTCTCATGATGCAACTAAGATTAAAGACTATGTGTCACGAATCTCATGCTAGTAAAGGATTCTATATGTCCCATAAAATCACTGAAACACATTAAATGATATGGTTTCGGCAGTACATAGAATGGCAGACAATTTACACCTTACCGTTTTACTGCATATGATACCCGTCCGTCTTAGAACCGAATCGCTACTAGACGTTTCCATCTAAAAAGTAAAGATAAAGTAACTTTACAATTTCAACGCAAGCACGGATGAGTAAAAAGGAGCAAACGCAGAACAAGCTAGTTAACGAGCATATCCAAAAGATACGTGTGAGGAACAAAAAATGAGAAAGACACGTGAAAGGACAACTGTTATTCGGATATCAAATAAGACCACATCTGCTTGAAATTATGCGAGTTCTATGGTCAAAACCATTATCTGTCAAACGCTTACGGGTTTGTGAATGCTGATTATCAAGCGCCAAATACAAATTTCTAAGCATCCGAATGAAGCGCCAAGCAACTGTATCCGCTGTCTATATCTGCTCAAAGGCAGCGTTCGGGCAAATCGGCTTATCCCAGATTGATACGGTCCAATAGGTTCCACTTTGAATAAAGCAAATCATCAGGTCCACTCGGAAAACGCGATTATCAAAGCTTCAAATGCGGCCGCTCCCCTAATCCTTTCTGCTTCCCATACACTAATAAACTAGCGTCGGAATACTCATCCGTGCTTATCAAAATAGGGTCCTCAAGCAGGGTTCTAGGGTCTTCACACGAATGCTTGGAATGAGACCATGCTCGAGAATGACAAAAATATAAAAGTCGAACTTACTCGATCGCCGCCTCCAAGTTTACTGTGGATACTACTGTTTCTTGAGGCGCCGCACAAATAGTGCAGATGCAACTACATTTTATTGAGGAGACTCTACTTCACGACTGCTGACATTAACATTGAGATACAGTTAATGAAAAAGCTTTTTACTGAATTTCTTTTGTTAGTAAGAACTTGGGTGGGGGGGGGGCGCTTATCAATTTCGCGGTCTCTTGGACTTTGTTCTACCATCACGAGCGAGCGCCCGATCAGGCGATAGGCGCTCGATAACGCTAAGACAGGAAAAATCGGGAAACAGATAATCACCGTCCCAGAAAAACAAAAATTTAGCTCAGAAGGTCTTTCACAGTCACAACTACATATAAATTCCTAAAGTACAATCTGAGAGTGACAGGAATCCAAAATACATTTTGACTGCTCGAAAACACGCAGCCTTCTCAGATCACCTGTATTCAAAGTGTTTCTAAGTATTCGAACGGCGACCATTCATTGTAAGGCCTCGGTTACCAAAATCACAAGAAATTTTAGGAAATTTTTTTCCAAGCTGTGCAAGCTGGATCCCTGGCAATGACATGACAGAATGGTTGGTACAAGATATAGGAAATTCGCTTTTAAAGAATCAATGGTAAGCTATTTCGAGGTGTTAGCCTAGAAAGGAACATATTTCCCGATATGCTCCTGGGCAAGAAAGATCAGAGTTAGATGCACAACTATACTGCAAATGATTCTGACATCGTTTTTAGATTTTCTCTTAGATCAGCAAAAACTTGACGGCTCAAAATGTTTTCAGAGCTTGTTAAGTCATGCTATAAATGGAAAGTGGTGAATTAGGATTGACAAAACTTTTCAAAAGTTGAAAGTCCATGCTTATGTCCATCAAAGACTTTCAACGTTTAGTTGCCAAGAAGTTAATTGGCAAAATATTCACGATCACATTTTTTTTTCTCATGAATCACTGCCTAAATACTATCAGATTCTTCCAAAAAAAGATTATACTGCTCAAAAGATAATTTTTATGCCTTTACTTTAATAAACTTCAATACTTAGAAGAAAACCTGCTCATATGGTCATTATACAAGCAAATGCAAAGAGACTATGCTCCTCAGACTTCAGAACATTTCGAACCACTGTGTATAAGCACTCCCTCAATTCCCTATTATCCAAGCTTGACTTGGAAAAACTTTTGAGGAAAGGACGAGCAGCCCTTAATGAGCAATCAGCCGGCTGAAGCATCTCGCTTTCAAAAAGTTAACGAGTCTGAATTAGGCGAAGAAACGCTCGACGGAACATCGCATCGTTTTTCAATTAACAGGACATGTCACTCACACAGGCCTAAAAAGGGAAAATGAAACGAAACTCACATCATATCTATTACGTAGTTGATTACCAGGCAAATGGAGAATGATTGCGATGTTTGGGAAATGAAATTGTAAAGATTGAATTAGTAAAAAGAGTCGAAATGACTGAAAGGAACGGAATCAAAAAGAGCAAACTTCGCAAAGCACATACTAAGCATAAAGACCAACTGAAGAATAGACACAGAAAATTATGGAGACTGACTGTGGTAGAAAAAAAAACATAGACATACAGCTGTCTTCTCTATAATCTCGAGGACTGGCAGATGCGATCCTTGTTAATGACCACGCATGGAATAATGGAGGGCAGTAGAAAAAAAGAAAGAACGATTGGAATCTGACAAAGGGTGAAATTCCTATGAGTGAACATAATAATCAAGTGAACGCGAGATATCACTGCACTCTGCCATAGACTGATTCATTCGGAAATCTGCTGATGAAATTTTAGTGCTTCAAGCCAATGAGAACACGAGCTTCCTGATTGATATGCTAGAAGAAAATCTGCTAGAAAAAATTATTGGAGAATTAGGCACACAGCCCGAAGCTTAAAACGGTGAGGTTTGATCGAAAAAATAAAGCCGTAGGGCAGAAGCTTCGTAATTGTATTCAAAATTCTCCTTAATCAGATTGGCGAATAGGGCATGGTGTAATGAATACAGCGTAGGAGCTGACAATAACATTATAGAATCAAAGTATTTGACTCTGCTTGTATAATGACGTAAATGATGCGTTTCTGGCAAGCAGAACTTGCTCACCATTCTGAGCAGAAATCTCAGATAGGGTATGACGTAAGAGTATTATTCAACAAGGTGGGCGTGCATGGGCGACTGAGCTTATTAGATGCATGACGAAGAAAGTCATACGTATTAATTACAAACAAAAAGCGGAGCAGAGCTGGATATAACAACTCAGCAAAGATCACGCACATGCAGCTTCAACTCAAGAAAGTAGCAAAAATCGCAACCAGCAGTAAATAATAACGTCGTTTGGCATCATTTCTTCGATTAAAATCATCAAATAAGAAACTTTTTAATGAAAATTATTTCTAGCAAGTGATAGAAGTTCCAAAAGTACAAAAAGTTGTCACGGTTTGTTGTGGATCCCCAACAAAAACAGAACTGTTGCCCACTTTGCTGGAAATACTGTTGCGCAACGACAAAGCTGTTGCATCCTAGTGGTGCACACATAGATATGTTGCATTGCAACATTAAAAATGCTTGTTCATTTTGTTGCACCAACGATATTTGCTGTTGCACATCAACAAGACGATATTGCGGCGCCACCAGTAGTTAGTGGACATCGTTGTGAAGTAACACCAGGCTTCTCGGACCGCCCACACATTTATTTTCCGCCGAAGCGATTTTCAAAAGAAAATCTCGTTAGAATCGACTAGAATCATCGGATATGCATGTATGCTGCACGAAATATAGCAGTGAGGCAGACAAGCCGGATATATCAACATTCGAAGACTGAAATGAAACCACAGCTATCGATTTGGGATTCAAGACGAAATGAAAACATAGCAGCATAATCTTGAGCAAACAAATTCTCAAGTTCCGGACTTCTGCTCAGTCTATGCAGAATATTCCATGAGAGGGGGAACACCAGGAACACCAAATATCTAAAGCTGTAGTTTTGATGGAGAAGATGATAGGAGAAAAGACTGCAAACAGTGATAATCTGAGTACCCATATAAAATAAAAAAGAAATTCTCCCTAAATAATAACAATTTACATCTGTTTACTAAGTGCCTGATATCAGGTAAAGTGGAATTTCCTTACGCAGCGTGGGACAGTGATGGGCGATAGGGACTTCAATACGGCTAACGATGTTCTCAAAAGTGATCAAACACATGAGATACGGACAACGGAAGCATGTTTAATCGGTGTGGCCTTTTTAGATGGGATGTATACGATGTTGAAGAGGATAAAACGCTGATTACAAATCTGCTATCCTCCACTGCGAAAGTTTGTGGATGAGGAGTTATGAGCGTCTATTAAAAGTACAACACTAAAATAAAAAATCAAATGCTTTATCCATTTTATTTATTTATTTGTTATATGCACTCAAGGTGCGTCATTAGGATAAAATGATTCGCTAAAATCTTACTAGTTTTCAAATAGAGCAACCAATTTTGATAGATATATTTTGAAGTTTAATAGAGTAAGTGCTGAGTGAATATCACGGCTCCTTGAAGCGCTAGAAAATTTTTGCAAATATTGTTGTCCTACTCAACATACAATATTTTGCGTCAAAAAAAAAGCTCACAAATCCCTTGGATCTAGCCTTTTTCACCCTTCAATATATTAGGTTGTCCCGAAAGTTCTGTCGCACCATTTTCAGATTTATAACTTCTGATTTTTCCAACAGATTTGACTGCTTTTATTTTTGTACGAAAGAGTAAGTCATGCTCATTATAATGACATCTTAGCTTCTTGTTAGTGATCATCTTTTTCATAGAAAGGAGCGATAGAAGAAAATTAGTCAAAATCCGAATTTTATGTGTAGGGGCACAAAAAATCGCAAACTTGCAGCAAAAATCGGAGCAGTCGGTATTGTAGGTTCTCTCACCAGCTCTTTCTAACTGTGCAAAGCTTGCGCTGATTGAGCGTCTCTATAAAGAGTTATGATTTTCGAGCAAGCAATACAAAAGGGCAAATTTGATTTATTTTGGCGTTTTTCAGGGAGAACATACTTTTTATAGAGACGCTCAATCGGCGCAAACTTTGCACTGTTAGAGGAGCTGGTAAAAGAACTCACAATACCGACTGCTCCGATTTTTGTTGCAAGTCTTTGATTTTTTGTAACCCTACACAGAAAATTCGAATTTTGACTAATTTTCTTCTATCGCTCCTATCTATGCAAAAGATGACCATTAGTAAGCAGCTAAGATGTCATTATAAAGAGAATGACTTACTCTTCCATACAAAAAAAGCAATCAAATCGGTTGGAAAAATTAGAAGTTAAGAATTTTCTGAAAATGGTGCGACAGAACTTTCGGGACAACCTAATAGTAAGAATCACATCTAAAAAGACCACTCGACTAAACATGTTTTCCTTGTAAGCAAAGTCACCTCCCACTCGGTCATAGAAGAAAGGAATTTGCAGATCACTCGTATAGAAATTGATGGCATTTTAGCTTACACGACTTCTTCCTGGTAATAAATCAAAAATCCAGGAAATCGATTATTTTTTAGAACTCTCGGGCGTCCGTTCGAGCGCGCGCCTTGAGCATAATTTAGCTACCTATGCAGTCATAGTGCTCATTTGGGAGAAATTTTTTGCAAACTGTTATGAACATATTCGGAAACGTTGCAAACACGAGGTCAGCTAAATCACTACATGAACAGCTCCATTTATTTCATTAGCAGAGCAAAACTAATGTTCACTCAATATTTCACGTTAGAGGAAGCAAACACATGCCTCAGGTAGTGATATACTCAACTTTTGTGTCAGCTTGAGCTCGTAAAATCTAGTGATAGGATCTAGAAATGTCTTCCAACTTGGCGAGACAGATGATGACCACCAAACATCAAAGAGCCGAAAAAATATTCGTAATATCTGAACAGCCCGTTTCCGCAAGTTGGCCAAAATCATTTATCCGTGGACCATATTTTTAGCAACACTCTATGACGTTTCCTGACCACCACTGGAAAATAATGGAAAGCATGTTCAGACTCGCAACAATGAAACCCATTACAGCACTAATCCCAAAGTAAAAGCAGAATGGAAACAGCCAGAAACAGAAGGCTGCCCGCCATCCGGAAAACGATAGCAAACCCTACCAATGATGTTTTTGAAAGAGATCCTTCACCAAGAAAACACATTAGTTAAAATATATTGACGCACTTAAGCTGCGGTGCCCAGCTGCAAAAAACTACAGTAGGATGTGTTTACTATAGCTGAGAATCTAACAAGAAAACAATGCATGCATCTGCTTGTATTCATCTATACCATGTGTGGAAGGGCAACAGCATGAAATCAGTAGAAGCTGCTGCTGAAGAAGATCGTGAGAAGCAATGGACTCAATACTTTTCGTAACCAACTGCCCTTTCGTTGTTGATTTCAGACGTATGTAGCAAGCACTCGTAACATTGTAGTAGAAGTTTTATAGCTCCTTCGCCGACATATTTCGTATTCTGACGGAATTTGCAAGTAAAAACTCAAGGGCATTTCATGTTCGTGAACGAAAGCACGCCGCCTACGCCACTTACGTGTAACAAATGGATGGAAATTTCCTTCAGTTGGTGAAAAAGACAAGTGCGTTAGACCTAAGGCATACCTCACGCGCGATTCCAAACGCTGTGTTGGAGTCAGACTTGCTGCGTTTGCTAAACTTATGGAATTTACGAGCACATAGTCTCTATAAACATCTGGCAAATCGCCAAATCGCGTGGAGGTAGCGATTTCGCGTAATCGCGGAAAGTATGCCTCAGGCCTAAGCAAATGTGAGGTCTCTCACTGATGAGAATTATTCAGTATCGTTAAAGAGAAAAGAACACGGTCCACAACGAGGCCACTTTCCCGTGCTGGTACATTTTATTTTGAAGCTTATGCTTAATTTCTGAACTTTTAACGACCCCCCGTACATGACTTGGCTTTGAATGAATGTACCTCAGTAATCTACTATCTACATCCTCCGAAATCTTCATAGAGACATTGATTAATCTGCACTTATGCCAGAACAACGACAGTGAGCCCCACTTGGTGATTACGGGAATCCCGCATGAATAGATAACAAGTCTCTACATCAAAAGTGCATTTTGGGTGCGGTGTACTAGTACAAATGGATTTCGCTCCATTTCTGGGGTGCCGCCAAAACTATATAATTTCTATATACGTCCATCCAAGCTCAACAGCACTTTCGTGCCGAGCGCAAGTGCAAAGTGCAGTGCACATCTCGGAAGAGTAATTGCATTTCGGCGAATATCTTATGCGTGATTTCCGACACTCGAAGTGTGTTGCCAAGCTACATGCGCTAGCCGCCATCTCCATCAGCTGATGGGTCTCCGCGGGATGTGGAAGGAAGGATGAAGAAGAAATCTAACATAAGTGGCGATTAGACGTGTGTAAGTGGCAGCATTTGCCATACAAGAGCCTTAAACGCTCGAAAAAAGTCGATTGCCAAGCGGGAACTCGGAAGCGAACATCAAAGATTTTTCGATAATTTCCGAGTTGGCTAATGTCGCCGAAGTCAGATACTCTTCCATGGTAGTATATAGCCAAACCCAACCGAGTTTGACTGTTTCGATAGAATAATTCAAGCTTTAGATTCTTATAGGCTTAGTCAGTGTTCAATTTTATGTTGAGGGAAATTGAGCACAAAGGGAATCTTCGATTGAGAAGTTAATTAAAAATTTATGAAAAGTCAAAACCGAAGTTTTCCGAAAAAATTGCAAAGTTGAAAAATTTGCCTATACGTCTAGCGCCAATGTCATTACGCTTGAAAGTGCAGAATAATTCTCAAGTTGGAGGATGTTTTAGCATCTCTAGCTTCTTTTCAACAAACTGAGTGGATATTCTTGGGATGATTCCCCAGCAATTTCCAAGCAGACTAACAGCAAATGAGTATTTTACCAAAAAATCCAAGGCTTTCCATGTACTCTTCAAAACATGCAAACTATTGGAGTCTTCGCAATATTGAAGTTGCTTGCTGAAGGGCCTTGAACTCAGGTTATGCGTTGTCAACTAGCATTGCGGGGGTGCTTCATGCTTCTCTAAGCTGCTCAATTAGGCAAATAAGTGAGTGGCACGGAAGCACTTAGGCAGCACACTCTTAGTGTCGCAAGCTTGACATCGACAGGAAGGTATTAGCGCTCAAGTGTTCTAGAGTAATCTGTCATGAATCGATAGCAATCCCTGAAGCTAGATTTGATAGAACAGAATGGTAAAGGCAACGATATTAGTGCCTGAAGAATAGCCGACGAAGCGTTGACGTGACGCCATAGGTCCTTACCCGATCAAAGGCGATCACGACCACTGGCGCGTCTGGCACGTTTTGACGGAAGTCTCTACAAATCCGAGCGTTATTACTAAATAGAAGTGAGCGAAAAAGGCGCACGATCGATAGATGCGATGAATGAAAGCCTCGTAAGTGTGTGGAGCTGTGAAGGGGAGTGGCGACGGGGAGAATACCGGCTCTCGGCTCGCTGCTGCTGCCACCGCCGTCGCCGCCCTCTTCATCGACGGCGTCGTTGGCGATGCGTAAGAGGCAAATTCAACCTAAAACTCGCTGTTTTCGGGTTTGAAGAGCATGGTAGAGATGAAGCTGTTCAAGGCAGAGGGGACTCAACAAAAATCAGTGATTATTTGTGGGGAAGAGGTAAAGTCGGTGAGGCTCAATTATGTGCTTTCTATGGCCAGATGAAATTCTTTCCTTTCGTGGCTCACGCACATCTGAATTTATGGTGGAGAGGATTTCTGTGCCGGTCACGTCAAATGTACACGAAAATTCTTGAAGAGGCGGATAATTCTACGGAGGATCGTGTATAAAAAACTGATAAGAAGAGAGGTGGAGGGAAGACCATAAACGTAATCGAACAAATTTCACATAAAGGGAAAAAATGAAGATTACATGAGAGTAAGAGAGCAAAACTCAGAATAATTCAAAGACGATTGAAGAAAAGAATGGGAAGTTTTTAGCATGAGTAAGCGGTTCACATCGCCGTACAGTGAGTATGCTTTCCTTTGAAAACAACGTTTCGCTTTGTTCTGCATCGCTAAAACGGAAATGTGATTCACTCTCTTTGAAATCTAACTCAGTATCGCGCACACTGCTACGTAATAGCCAGTATCAAAAATCATGTAGCTCAAAAATGTATGACAAGCGAGCAAAATGGACAATCTCAAAAGTATGCACGTTATGATCAAAATCCGTGTTATAGAGAAAAGTGTTTGGAAAAATCCTCATTGAACTACTGGTTACCTAATAAGCCAACTAAGTGGCAGCTGGGTCCGTATAGCAGACATCCGAATGCATATTTCCGCGAATCTGGCATATTTCATGGCGTCGCCCTGCTCTAAACAATGGTAGTCATTCAAAATTCACTACGGTAATTTTTCAACGTGTATAGCACATGCTTTAGCAAGCTAACATTCTTCAGCTAATTATTTATCAAACAACAATGTACAGCAGTAATTCACAAGAAATTTGACACAAGAAGAAATTCACAGAATTGTATAGAAAAGAATATTAAGTTGTTTAATATGAGTAGGAAGCAGGCATCATAGTCGAGTAGTGTTTATGATTAATGAGTACCTCCCTCGTCACGACTCGCGCTGAGCTCGAAGCTAACGAAGCATGAAACATAGCCACTGCGAGTCTATAACCCTCAGAAACGGCTGGAATGCCATTTCGCTACGTGAGGAAATGTACAAGAAGTGCTTGCGTGGACAGAAGTCACATTATACAAACGGCAAATTATACAATAAAAAGGGGTAAGATCTGGTGGAGAAGAGAAAACATTTCTAGAACCTATGAAAACTCATATGATAAGCAAACACTTGGAGATTACTGTAAACACCAGATAACTAGAATGAACGAGCCCTCTTCCTTTGAATCACTTCCGAGGATGGCGATTGTTGGCGCTTCAATTCTGCGTTTTTTGGCAGAACCTTTTCCTCAGATGCCCTTGACTGGCTATTCTGTAATGCACAGAAACAGTGCATAATTAATATTTTTAATATTCTCTACAAAATACCTTGCTAGTCGGTTTTTCCTCGTCATCTGTTTCTGTTGTTTCATCATCAGAATCCGCAATAACTATGCTAAAATTCAATTCCAGGTCTACTTTGTAGGTAGCAATTCAGGATGATTAACACATCTAATTTGTGCCTTCTCCCTCAATCAATCGTAGATAGCAAGATTGACATCACCTTGCAAGATATAAAAAATTGCCCAGGCAACGATATACACAAGGGATGCACTCTGATGGAGGGTTTTATTCCCGCGCTCCTTCCGAGGAGATTTTGCACGACCAACTGCTTCACAAAATTGGCATTTCCATTCTTCCGTTATCATCAGAAAGATCTTGAGTTCGCTTTAGCTTGGATAAATGTATCCTCTAATAGCAGACCGATGAATCGCTGAGAATGGGTGACGGAAAATATCAAAGTGATCTACATGAGTTGAAAAAATTGTGTAGATGACTTTACATTTTAATAAAAACTGTTTCTGTGTTTCAAAGAAAGAATGACAAACACCATTTATGCCTTCTTCTAAGAAGTCAAAAGGCGACAAAATGGGATTCGGTAATAATTATCTAATTCCGGTACGAGTTTTGGGGTCAGGGGCCCGCAAAAATTTTGGGAAGCATCCCAAAAAATTCTGCAGAGTGCGTGGCTGATGCCACCATGCATCTTCATCCGAAAAATTTTTTTGTCGCAGTAGCCCCGAGCGGAAATCCTGGGACCGCTACTGTTTCATACAACTATGACCCTCTAGACATTCAGTTTTCTATGCCAATTACGTGCACAAACACCGCCCAAAGCACTGAAAGTCCTCTGACCGCTTTATATCCTCCACATTTTCCGAGTCCGAAGCCGCGTTTGGTAATGCTGCTGTGCCTCCGGTATTAACCATATCCACAGCGAAAGAGACGGAGAGATTACTGAACTTTGAGTGGGATGATGTTCAATAAGTTACGAGGAAGCTGCTTGATCTCACCTTCGGTCCTTACTTTTGCTCTTGTTGCACATTGCGCTGGGAGGCATGTCAAGAATGGTGCCGTCTGCGACTTGGTGCGATCTGATATTTTCATCTTCAGAAACTGTTGATTGCTCGACCTCTTCTTTGTCCACTTGACTGTCCGAATCATCTTCTTCGTTCTCCACAACTCTAGCTTCCCCTTCCGAATGCTGTTCCTGAAAGGTCAGCATGGTATACGCGTTCAAGAAGCAAATGCATTTCACCAACATCGTTTGTGGAGTCGCTTTTCTGAGACATGTCTTGCTGAATTTTTTCATCTGGTTCAAAAATGTACTTTTCAAGCATTTCCAGCAAGCCGTCCACTTCTGCACGTATGTCCCAATCTTCAAACTGAGGCCTAGAACGGAAAAGTGTCCTTCACAAGTAAGCAATGAAGGAGAGATGAAGAGGTGAAAGGGTAGCAAGTGACATGCCGCGCATAGAGCTTTTGAAGGCAATCTGTCTTTGAAAACAAAAACGAAAAATACGAAACTACACCCTCAAATCACTTACTGTATCTCCACAATTGCATCCAACAACCACTGATTCCTAACATCTTCTTCAGTATCTAGGCTAGACAAGTCGGACAAAGCGTGACCACCACGGATGAATTCATAAATCTAAGCGAGAATACATGGAGTTGTAAATAAAGTAGTCTCCAACCTTGTTTGCGCGATCCACGATATCTTGAGATACACCCATTTTAGACGCCGTATAAGCTGCATATGACGAATCAACCAAACCGTCGACTAAGTGATACTGGAAGTTCAGTTCGGCCCCTTTTTTCATCACTTCCATAGTCTGAAACGTCCAAGAAGGACACTGGCGTCTACCAAGCAAAGTAATGAGATCTAACATGATACGATATGACGTCAAACTCATCGTTGACCAACTCAGGTAAAGCCTGGAAATGCGAAGCAACGAATATATGAGGACATCCTTGCGGACCTTTTGCAGCCCAATAAGACAGAGTCGATGCTAGTAGTGAAAGGCCGACCTCCTAGAATAAAAGACTAAAACACTGAAGATTAAAAAAATGCTGAGCAAAATTAGGGATCTTACTAGATTTTCAGAAACAAAAATGTGATGATCCAAGTTGCTCAGTATGCTATTTATGAGATTCGTGCCACCCTCCTAAACGCAGTCAGCTGGGGGCAAGCATCTGTTCGATGGGCGAAGACATAGCTGGTTTGATGAAATCAACGAGAATGGCAGTATAGACTCTAAGGTGTAAACTACTACAGAAGAATGTAAAAAGAGCAAGGTTAATGTACGGATTCTAATTAATATAACAATACGAGTAGCGCCAAATGTACGAAGCAAAGGAAAACTAAAACAAGCAAAGTAGAAAAAAGACAAAAGTTACCGTCATTGTTCCTTTCCCAAACTCATCGATAATCACAAGGGATCGTTCATTGCCACGTCGGAGCGCAAGAGAGATCTGAACATGTAGATCTCAGAATTGCGTGGTAAGAGGTTTATACAAGAGGCTGAAAATTGGACAAACAACATTACAAGAAAAATCATAACTGACCTGATCTAGATCTTTTGCAAAGGTGCTCAAGCCATCTAGGGCAGTATCAATGGTATAAATTCTTGACAAAATGCGATTGACAATACCAACATGGGCAACTTCAGCTGGTACAAAGCTACCGATATGAGCGAGAAAAACAAGAACGCCGACCTGGCAAGAGATGGCAAATTCAGTCCACAGAGAAGGAACATACCTGTTTTAGGTAGACACTTTTTCCACATGCATTTGGTCCAGTGAAGATCTTGATTTTTGAATAATCACCTCCAGAGCTACAAAACTAGTTCTCAGACAAGAAGACTGAGCTAACTTAAAACAACCTAATTGGGTTTGGAACAAAATGTTCTGTAACGAGCTGAGACAATGGATGAACAACTCGCACAGCGTCGATAATGGGCTCGTCGACAAATTTTGGACGATTCCAACTAAAGGATAAGATATTTTTGTGAAAATAACAGAAAATCGGATTACCCAAACTGTCTAGCCGTCAATGCCAGCGATATAGCTGCATCCAGTAGAGCACCAGCTCTTTCTATACCGAAAAGGAGCGCTGATCGAGAAAGAATCAGTGATGACATCCTGAAGTATAGTGCACTAAACATCCATAAGTAGCCAATTCCCAATTTTCCCATCAATCATATTTCGAAGCCTAAAAGTCTTACCTTAGAGTAATAGTTGTCTCTTTGTCAATTATTCTCATCTTAACATCTCCATACTCCTCATCCAGCGATCTCATTCTTTCGCTTTTGGCATGTATAGTGTGATTCGTGGAGTAGATTATATCTACACTGAAGTGATCAACACAGCTCATAAAACAAGGTATCCCAAAGCTTACCTATAGTGGGAACTCACTCTTCGAATTTCTCAACGGGAAAGTTGTGAGGCAATGCGACAAGATAGCCTATCATAGGCACATAAGCAACCGAACAGGTCTCCGCTTTGAATCGACTAAATTCATCTTGAGCCACCTGGGTGAGAAGAGATGGCAGGTTACGGTAGAGCCTCTTCGCTATAATGCTAGAATTTTCGAGGCCTCGAAAATTCGTTAGCTTACCTTCATCAAGTTCCGGGTCAACGCCTGGGCTCATCACAAGACGGTTCTCTGAGTAAGACTCTTCGAAATCAATCTTTAATGGCATTTGACATAATATGCTATGACCAGAAAAAGAATGGAAATCACCATAGCATTCAGCACAACATAAGTTTCCTCTAGTACATCCCCATAAAAGCCAATGTCGTCTTTCAGCAACTTCAGTGGAGATCCCATGGTTTCCAAATATCGACCGATCATCACTGAGCTTGATATCGTCTAAAATACCGATAAAGCGCGTCCATTTTCAACTGGTCAAAAAGATCGACCAACCTTGTACAGGTTATCCCATTGTAGCACTTTTGCGGTGCCATTGCGCAGCTGATTGAGAATGTACTGAAATTATCCACTAAGAAGAAAACCTTAGATTTATGAAAATTTACCCTCATATTTCTTAATGAACCAAGTAGGGTATGCAGCTTTCCTGTGAGCTCCATGTTGCAATCCTGTGTAGTTCAAATTACTTGCTGCCACTTATTGATGAGACAACACGTATAGGCGACTCAGTGCACGCACAGAGTGGACGCTGTTGCGTCCCATCAAAATAGTCTGTGCATGGGAGAGACAGCAGACGGCGAGAGGGGTGAACGAGCGCTCGATCAGCGAGACACCGACAGGGTCCGCAATGACGCCTTATCTTTGCGTGCGTTGAATCGCCTATACAGCTTCAGTGCGTGAATCTTCACATCTTTGCACTGCATCAAGTCAAATTTCTGTCAGACCTAACTGTGCACCCCACTTACAACTTTTCGTATTGTCTAAGTGGATTGGATATACCTGGAGAAAATACGAAATCGCTTCCTGCCTTTCACTGAGAACCTCGCGATTTGTGGTAGGGTGCTCGAACCATTTCCTAAACCGCATTCTGAGAAAAGAATGCTAAAAACTATAAGCATCACCTCAACATGCGTTTCCCAGGCGCTGATCTGCACTTGTTGCACAGGCCGAACAGAGATTTACATTCTGACTTAGCTTTGGCAGCTCTCTGCATTAAAACGATAGATGTATTGCACTGATGTTGAACATTTCTTACCTTGTGTTCGTTTGGGAGAAAAATATCCAACGCGAGGTATGTATTACTGTCAATCTCAACCATCTCATCGCTGCAAGAATTTCAGGCAAATCATGAAGTGAAAAAGAAACGAATGAATATACTGAGCGTGTACATGGATATAGTTTTGATAGCGGTCACTGGGGTGCGAACGTTAGCGGTTTCGAATTCGACTCCGATGCGTGCAGAATCCATATACTTCAGCAAGGCACCCATAGCACGAACCTTAACTCTGACTGCTTGAATATTGCTAATCCTTTCATATTCGTTTTATTGATATCAAGATGACTGCATCTAAAGCCCAACAAGTCAATGATTCAGTCGTGTGAAAAAAAAAACAAATGTACAAAAAAACGTAAAGTAAATTCTATATATACTTTCCAATAAACATGTTTCAAACGTTTAAAGCCGAAAACTTACCATATTTCGGCATGACATATCAATGCGAAATCTGGTTGTGAGATGGTTTTCGGCTTCGTTTGCGCTTTCTTCTACAAACAGCTCAGAGATACGTTTGAAAGCTGTCTCGAAGTCTAAGCAAAGCATGATCAACGTTTTTTGACCTCAAAAAATGTTTTGAGCTGTAAAACTCACTAAAGGTGTTATTAGCTAGGAAAATAAGAGTGGGTCGATCCGGCTCTCCTTCTTCATCTTCTCCATCTTCCTTTTCGCCGTCAGGAACGATGTTACATTTCGGGTTTTCCAACAAATCATTCTTGATTTTCTGTGCTGGTGGGCCAGGGTGTTCAGTCGTTGTGTCACTTTCATCTACATTTGTAGATGTCTCAGTGCTGGGGTCAAGTGGATTCGTTGAGAGAGTCGAACTTGAGCCCTCTAGGTCAGTAGATTCCACAAAGATGTCTAGCTGAGGTAACCTCACGCCGCCTAAATGTGCAATCGAATCAAGTGAAAGGAATCTCGATAGAAGGCGGAAGAAACCCACACAACTCCGATATATGGCGTATGAAACGGATATCTTGTGCTTTATTTGCCAATATGGTAGTTGGTTCCTCTTGTTCTAACACTATAAAATAATGATAATTGATGTAGTGTAAGCTAATAACAGTCATACTTGAGAAATTATGTCATGCTGATAACCTACACGCGTTCAAAGAGTTGTATTCCTGGTCTTCGAGGACATCCTTCAACAGCTGAATAGTTGTCTTTGATTGCTCGTAAATTGCAGCTCCCAGATAGCCGCCACTATAATCAGGGTTCTGCTCGATAACACGAGTAAGGATGTTTCTGTTATATAGTATCCGTAAGTTCCTTTTTTAAATTTATACAGACAGAGTACTTCCCAAAACTTAGAGATGAAAATACTATTTGATGCAGTGGCAGCACATACCTCAAACTAATACTTGCAATCACCGCATCAGTAGAAATTTGAGACGGTACTCCAGCGTTTTGTTCTTGAGACATCACTCTGAAAAGGACATGAAGCATAGATCTGCCGAAGTTATGAAGCACAGTAAATGTGGCCATATCCCCTCCCCCTCCCTCGCAGTAACAGACGAGTCGAACAAAGTATTACGCAGAGACAGAGCTTCATTCGTACGTTGTCGGCGTCTCTTCTCTCTGATCAGACACGATACCGATTCTCTCGATTTCTGTTGTCTATTCCAAAAGCAGACTACAGTCGAGTCGATCCGCGCGGACGGGCCTTAGCGCACGCGCCGCGCAGACAAACGCAGCAAAACAGATTTGGCAGCCGTTGCAACTTTCAACTACTGTACCCCACGACATTTACAGGGTGTTCGTGCCGACGACCACCTCTGTTGAAGGCAGTGTCCAAGCAAAAAGTCGATTTTGAGATTTCGTGCTTACCTGGGCCTATTCACCATGCTGAATCCGATAAACCACAATGGAGAGCACGAAAACGCCAAAAAAGGCCTTAAAGGCAGCGGCTCGGCAGATTGACGTACCTCAGATTTTGACACAGATGGATAGGAGGCCCTCCAAGTGAACCAAAACAGCAACTCCGCGCCGAAAATGTGAACTCTGCAAGCCAGGGGGCGGCCCAAGCGCCGCTCCCCTTCCTCCTTTCGTTCCCCTAACACCTTGTTCGGACGAGTATCCTCCGCTAGACGGCGCGGGACCCCTCAACCGCTTTCCGCATTCTCTGACATTCGGTGCGTGCGGCGCGCGCTTGTTAATGGCCAGCAGTGCGGCCCGCGCGCCTAGATTTGCGGGCGGGGTCACGTACCGTGCGGCCGGCGCGCCTTGAATCCTTAGCGTACGGCCCGCGCGCACTATATTTCACCGTGCCACCCGCGCGCCTCCAATTCTCACACGCTATAGGCGTAATGGGTACCCGCGTGAGGTACGATGCTATGATTAGGCTGCTCCGTTACTCGTGGTGTTGGCTTATCATTTCTTAGCATTTGAGTAATCGCAGGAACATGAGAGATTTCTTTGCTTCTACGAAGGATATGCCTCGACAGCATCCCGAATGGGTGCTAAATTTGAATTCTTGAATTCCATGAATTTAAATTCAAATTTCCGAACTTTTTAAATTCGGAATTTTTTTGGACTGTGAAATTGGGAATGCCCACGGCACGACGAAAGAAGAAAAAGAAGCTTTATAAAAGACTTATTCTCTAGTAACTCGCGAACGAAGCGTCTTCGATACCGTGCGGCCCGCGCGCATTCACCGTTCGGCCCGCGCGCATTCATCGTACGGCCCGCGCGCACGGAGCGTTCGGCCCCCTCGCACTACAAGGCGCCGCACGGGGAGCACGCGCGCGCCGCACGGACCGAATGTCAGAGTTGTGCATGCTATACAAAGCCAAAATTACAAGCAGCAGGGTCTTCGTGCCAGGGCCTCCCGACTTTCCTTTGAAAATTCTCGTCCGAGCTGCCTTTTGGAAATTGAAAAAAAACGCCCCGAAAAAGGCCTTTTTAGCCCTCTTAGAGCTCAGATTCGGGATCTACGGGTCGAGAAGGCCCAAAACATGCAAAAAGATGGAAATGCAAAATCTGCCGGGACGCTGCCTTTAACGCAGGAGGGAAATCGCAGGTGGGCGGGGCCGTTCAAACCGTGACGTCACTCTCCCGGGCTTTAGGAGCGATCTTCTCGGTTCCGATTTTATGTCGCGCGTTTCGCGTTGGCTGGTGGTAATGTTAGGGCGACTAACGGAAGTGAGAAGATCTTTCCTGAAGCTGGGATAGTGACGCCACTATGTGAACAGCCCCGCCTACCTGCAATTTCCCTCCTCTGTTACAACCTTTTTCTCGGTTTTCGCGCTCTCCAGCGTTGATTTTCGGATTCAGCATAGCGAATAGGCCCGGGTAAGCACAAAATCTCGAAATCGACTTTTTGCTTGGACACTGCCTCTACTCAGGTAATCGCCGGGGGCAGGCGGTCCGCAAACTCGCGCTTTTCTGCAGGCGGTCAGCAGAATTTTGGGGCGTGGCCAAACCTTCAGCGGGCGGCACTTCCTTTACAGTCGCATATTCTGCCAGAGGGCAGCAATACAGCATTTTTTGCAAGCGCTCGGCAAATAATTTTTTTCAGCGAGCGCTGGCCAAACTTTCAGCAAGCGCTCGGACTCTTTTGAGGCATTTTCGGGCGTACGTCGAGCGCAGGTAAGACTCTGTGTGGCAGAGGTGTCACCGTTGGTTCATTTACTCAAGTTTGAGGTACTTTCTCCCAGCGGAAAGTACCTGGGGGTTGCGCGGTCCTCCACAAAGGACCGTGCGGCCCTCGAAATTTTTGCATATTTTCGCGGAAAGTCCGCGAGAATGCGGCCACTGCGCCGCAGCTAATCCATAAAGAAACCGCGATTGTTCTTTAAGCATTCGTCTTTGATTTCGCCAACTTTCTTCCAAATTTCTGCAAGCGGGCCGCAAAAAATCTGCGAACTATTTTTCCGGTGCGCGCTTGCTCAAAATTCGCATGGCCGCCTGCCCCCCGCGGTTATCTGAGTAAGGGCGTGGAGCAGCGCTTGACGTTGCGAACGTTGATACCAATTCCAAGTTCAAGTGACTCCCCTGAAAACCTCATCACTTAATTCAATAAAAAAAGCACATGTGTTGCTACAGCAAGCACATCGCAGTGCCTTATTTATTACTCGGAACGGGCGCAAAATATGCGCATGGGGAAGAGGTATTTAGAATCTAATTTTGCACTATTTACGATCAACGAAGCAAACGGTTGATTAGTGAAAAGATAAAAATTATTTGCTCAGTATTCTGTGATCATACTTGCTGGCAATTTTGCTTCATGCCCTTAAAAATTTTCTCAGAGCAACCTTACAAGTGCGCTATGGACCTATGGGTTGTTTCAGACTGCCGCACTGACCGCAGCAGACCGCAGCTGATTGCAGCTGAGTGCAGCAGACTGCAGCAGACTGCAGCAGACTGCAGCTGACCGTACTGACCGCAACGGCCGCACAGATCGCTGTATTTTCTCGTAAAGGTGGAGAGGATAAATAGTTGTAGCTCAAACAATCGACAACAGTATACGCCTAGATTAAAGACAAAATATACGCAATAATAGGAGGAATCAGAAAAAATATGAGCATACCTAGGGAAAACATTCGCCAAAAATTGATTGAGAAGGGTAAATTAGAACCTATGGACTTTCTAGGCGTACATCACAGTATTTGACGTAATTGCAATCGTTTCCTCTTTTCGAAGGGATGCAGCAATCTGAGCGGCCGTTGCGGTTCAGTGCGGTCAGTGCGGTCTGCTGCAGTCCGCTGCGGTCAGTGCGGCAGTACAGTAAGTTTCGGCCCGCTTTAGGCGGAAATTGGATTGGCGGGAGTCCGCCTCGCAACAGCTCGCGCCGTTTCGCAGCTACAGTATATCCTGTCGTGCTGAGAACCCATGTCTGCGTCTCCTCAACCTCCTTAGTCTTTGCTTGGCAAAATGCCAGCGCTATGCGCTCGCGAAGCCTCCAGCGATGCGCATGCGCTGCTCCACGTAGAATGTATCGCCTAATCCGGGTTGAAACCGACTGTATGAAACAACCCTATGACTGAGAGAGCCTACTGTTGGCTCATCGTTTCCAATGCTTGTAGTTAATACTGTGCAGGAATCTAGTCAATTATATTTTGAAATCATAGTTAACGCTAATCAACTGCCTCTGCGTTTATGTGCAAGCACAACTAGGGGGAAACCAGAAAGCTAGATTGCCGGTATCGCAGAACATGCGCATAAATGTATGACACTTGAACGCAAATACTGCGTTTAGATCACACTTATGACATTTTTGTCATGAAGAAAAGAGGTGGGGATTTATTCCACCTGCATTCCCAGATAGTCGCGGGGGGCGGGCGGTCCGCAAACTCGCGTTTTCTTGCAGGCGGTCAGCAGAATTTTGGGGCGTGGCCAAACCTTCAGCGGGCGGTACCTCCTTTACTGTCGAATGTCCTGCTAGCGGGGCAGAATACAGAGTTTTCTGCGGGCGCTCGTCAAATAGTCTCTTTCAGCAAGCGCTGGCCAAACTTTCAGCAGGCGCTCGGACTCTTTTTAAGCAGTTTCGGGTGTACGTCGGGCAAATGTGAGACTCTATGCTGTAGAGGTGTCATCGATGGTTTAATTACTCAAGTTTGAGGTACTTTCTCTCAGCGAAAAGTAACTGAGGGCTGTGCGGCCCTCGAAAATTTTGCATATTCTCGCGGAAAGTCCGCGTGAATGCGGCCACTGTGCCGCATAAGGAAACCGCGATTGTTCTGCAAGCATTCGTATAAAATTTCGCTAAAATTCTTCCAAATATCTGCAAGCGGACCGCAAGAAATCAGCGAACTATTTTTCCGGTGCCCGCCCGCCCATAAATAGCATGGCCGCCTGCCCCCGGCGACTATCCGAGAATATGCAAAATTATTGAGGGCTGTGCGGTCCTCCACAAAGGACCGCGCGGCCCTCAATAATTTTGCATATTCTCGCGGAAAGTCCGCGAAAGTGCGGCCAATGCGCCGCAATTAACACGTTTCGGACCGCGAAATCGCGCGCGGCGAAAAAGAGGGTACTTTCAGCCGTTAGCCAGCAAAGGGACCTTAATTCGTAGATTGTGTGCTACATCTGTAATCAGCATGTCAGATAAGATCCATGCCCAGAGTCCTGAGTGAATTCGAAGTGTTTGAATTTTGTCGTTTGAGAAGCACTTCCGTGCTTTCTTGAAAGATAGGAACAAGATTTCAGTTTTTAAAGGCACCGTCCATCCAGATTCTCGACTTCCAGTTTTATGTCGTTTTAGGGCCTTCTCATGTCGCTGATTCCGAATATGAAGTTGAGAGTCCGCGAAAACTCCGACAATCCCCGTTCCGGAGAACCCACAGGCCGGCTTTCTGGAACGGTGATTGGATGGGCGCGCACAAATGGGCGGGCATGGATGGGGAGGGGCGGGCATGGGTGGGGGTCCTCGTGCATCTTCGTTATTCAAAAGCGATTTTCTCGCTTTCGAAGCGACATTTTGC